ATTATTTTAGTATTTCTCTGAACTTACTTCCATTAGCAGACATGTTGCCCCATCCAGACACCAGGCAGTTCTCGTCAGCCATGGGGCACCTGCTCGGCAGCGCCACCGTCTGGACATAGCTGTTGAGGGTTGCTGGGCGACTGAGTTTGATCAGCATGATGTCGTTGTCCAGGTTGTAGCTGTTGTACTGAGGATGTTTAATGATTCTGGAAGAGTCGATCCACTGCTCTGTGCCCTCGTTCACAGCGATGTTGTGCTCACCCAGACGGACATTGATGCGACTAAAGTGAGAAAAATAAATAAATAAACAAGGAAATAAAATCTAACTTATATTTATATAGCACATTTTACCAACACAAGCCTCCAAAGTGCTGCACAGAGTAGGCACAATATAAATTTACACAGAATAAAGCATAGAAAATAAATAAGCAAGTCAATACAAAAACAGAAAAAATACTAAAATGAGCAATAGAAAAATAGAAAATAAAATCAATAATAGACAGACAGAGGACCACACAATTCTCATGCAGGGATAAAAGCCAGTGAGTAAAAGTGTGTTTTTAAACAAGACATAAAAGCATCAACTGAAAGGAAAGATAGAAAAGAAAATATTGTTTGTGTACGCTATTGTCCACGAGTTTATGTACATCATTTAAAGGTGCACGATGCAACCTTCAAGTTTTTCTGGAATGTTGTGTTGTATTTTTTATTTATTTTTCCCAATATTTTTATTGATTTTCAGACAATAAAAATTCCACAAGAACAACTGACCACGTTAACACAGGTCAACATACAACCCAAAAATAATAATAATAAAATAAAATAAATAATAATAATAATAATAAAATAAAATAAATATAAAAATAATAATAATTGCAAACAAATTTCACACACTCACACACTCATACACATTCACATATTCACTATACAATGTTTGCACAATACAATTTATCAGTCGCAGGTGAGTCCTTGATTTATATTCGGTGACCATATGTACTTAAAAAAAAAAAAAAAAAAAATATATATATATATATATATATATATATATATAAAATAACATTAAAAATAAATAGATAGATATTAATAAAAATTAGTAGAGAAACATAAATAAATAAATTGATAGATAATATAAAAAAATTATACAAAATAAATAAAAAATATTAATAAAAAAATAAGTAATTAATAAACAATAAAATGAGATAAATAATAATACTAAAATAAAATAATAATTACAACAATAGCAACAACAACAACATTAATGAAAATAAATAAAAAATCTGTATTTGTCACCGCCAATTCTGGACAACAACAATAACAATATTATATATATATATATATATATATATATATATATATATATATATATATATATATATATATATATATATATATATATATATATATATATATATATATATATATATATATATATATATATATACATACATCACTTCCATTTTTTTGATATAATATTTAAATAAGGTTCCCATAATTTCACAAAGTCTTTTTGTGTTGTATATTTAATTTGTATTTATATTTTTTATTTAACTTAATTTAACTTATCAACAGTGCATTTATTCAATTCCAGGTGTTTAATTGCTGCAAAAATACTACACCATCATGCCAAATTAGAGTACAGATCAACACACCAACATCTCCACACAAACACGGAGCAGATCCCACACAAGAAAAGTTACATAATCCACCATAAAGCACATAATCACATCTACTATTAAAATTAGACTAATAAAATAAAATTTTATTTAATATTTATTTTTATATTAATATTTTATGGTTACACACTATGTGTGTAACCATAAAATATTACTTTTGTCTTGATAAATAGAGAAACGCCATCTTATTTGTAAATTGTGAGATTTATTAGGACAAACCGTGCAATGTTTTGGCATTTTCCTCTATGTCCTTGGGCTGCTCCCTCTTCTCCAAAGCACTTGTCTCAAGTAACTGATATGCGAAGTTCTCATTCTTTTATGTCTTGATGTTAATTAAATCTGTTTAATCATTGACTCCTTTTAACTTTTGTCTGTGATTTGGTAAATGGTCACATTTTTATAAACCATTTTCTACCTTGAAGGCACTCACAATCACTTTACATCAAGGAACCACTCACCCAATCACACACACATTCATACACCAGTGTACACAAACACTGGGAGTGAGGCATTAAGTGTCTTGCCTAAGGACAAAATTACAGCATTCATCTGTGGGAGCAGGATTCGAAGTGCCAACCTTCGGATCAGTGGACAAACTTTCTACGTACAGTTTTAACACCTTGTAAAACTGGTTTAAAACTACTTTGGAGATTGTTTTAGTTGTATCAGGGACATTGTGGTCATTATTTGGTGTCATATCTAAGAATATGAGGAGCCACCCAAAATGTCAGTAAAAATAAAGTGTAATGTAATAGTAATTTTCTGCACTTACGACTTGTAACAGTGAGCGGCAGACACAACCCACTGGCTGGAGATGAGAGAGCCCCCGCAGAAGTGGTACCCGGCGTTCAGAGACACCTGGTACGGGACTGAGTTTTTGGGACACTCATATCCTCCAACGATCTTATCATCCTCTGCAGCAACTGTCGAACAAACAAGCAGTGATGGAACGTAATAAAGTAAAATTAGTAAAAAGTACTGTACTCAAGTAAAGATTTGAGGTAACTGTACTTATACATTGTGTAACTTTTCTGGTAGAGGGTCCATCAAATGCTTTTCTTCATAGAGATGTTATTGCTTTGTCTGGAATATTTTCATAGTATGGTATTAAACCTTTCTATGATCATGGAGACCAAACCAGACCAAATTACAGGTCAGATCTCTGGAGAGGCAACCCTACTCACAGTCAGAATGTCTGTTTTTCTAGCTATTTTTGAGCTATAAAACCACCTGTAATTGAATAAATGTAAATTTGATCTGTTTAATGTGACACTATGGAACATTCTAGGCCGTGCAATACCAAGCAGGTGACGGACCAACAACCAAAAATTTACACAGTGCACCTTTCAGTAGATTTTAAATTGGATACTTTTTACTTTCTGCTCCACTACATTCTGACACATTATTGTGTGAAACGTCCTGAAAAGGCTGAAGGTTTATTTTTAACATGTTCATACTTTGAGTAAACAAAAACATACTAATAAAAACAGCTAAAAAAAAAAACCAAAAAACTATTGGATGGTGTCTGTTGAACAAAATTCTGCACAAATCTTTATCAAAATCACTACATTTTAAGCTGTGTATATATAAGAAATCAAAATCTGTTGAACACGGGTAGAGTAGCCATTAAGTGTACTCAAGTAATAGTAACATTACTTCAAAATAATATTAGTAGAAAAACAAAGTATTGAACCAAGATAATACTCAAATAACACTGTCTGGGCATTACATCTGATAATGTGAAGACAAAACAGAAAAACTGAACTAAATGTAGTATTTTCAAAGGACAAACCACAAAAAATTAAAAACTAAATCCTATTTGAAGTAGTGGTGCAAGAAATACAAATTAACACTTCTAGAGTAACCCATTTTTTTTTTTTTTTTTTTAACCCTATTCAGAGTTATATTAGAATTTAAAATAGATGACTGAAGTAGGAGTAAATGTATAATATCTGGAATATACACAGAGATGTACAAGATTTTCAAAAAGTTCAAGTAACCATAATAAATAAATAAGTAAATTATAGTAACAGAGTTGCTATATAACAGAGCATCTATCACTGAAAATAATGCATAGGCTATTTTTATTTAAATATTTTTTTCATATAAATGGACTTACAAGCTGCGCCAAGCAAAGCTAGGAAGATGAGGGCCTTCATCGTGATCACTCTCGAGACCAGGACACGAAAATCCCCCCTTTAAATACTGCCATTCATCCTGCTACGTTTCTCACGATAGAAAGGTACAACGTATGCACTGTTCTGGGAAACAGCCATATGTTCCTTATGTTCAAAGAAATAGCAGGGAGATAATGTCCTTACGTAATGGAAACCCCAAAAAGTAAACACCATTGTAATAAAAATAAATGTTGAATCTAAATATTTCAATACATTTTTCCCATTTACATGTTTAAATTTAACATATACAGTCTAAATGATTTGCTTTGGATCCACATAAAATAATAATGTGCCATATAATACAGTGAAATATGGCTAAATATATGAGAACAAGTGTGCCAGTGTTATTTTGACAATTAACCTAGTGTAAAAAAGCGTTGAAAGTACATTTAAAAGGTGCATTGCTTAACTTTTCTGTTTTTTTTTTTGTTTTTGTTAGAGGGTCCGCCGCTTGCTTGACTACATGTACGTTATTGCTTTTTTTCCCCTGGAATGTTCTAAAGTATGGCCTTTAATTTAACTATTTCTCCATGGAGACAAGCAACCACATCACCAGCCCAAGTTACAGGTCAGATCTGTGGAAAAGTGGGACCCGTGCACAGTAAGAATGCATGTTTTTGTGGTAGTTTTGAGAAACAAACTTCTCTAATTGAATAAAAGCAAGATATATATTTTTAATGCCATACTGCAGAATAACAATAACATCACCATGGAGACCAGTAGAAGGCAGATTTACTATAAATGTTACACAATGCACCTTTAAGATTGTTCTGTTAATACAAAATTCTGAGAAAATAATTGTGAACATAGTTTGAATGTGAAACTTTAATTAGGAAATGGAAAAAAAGCTGGAAAAGATTATCAAACAACTGTATACAAGTATGTACAGAGGCGTGGTATAAGCAATACCAAATGCAGTCACTATTTTAGAAAACACAGACACCCCATTTAAGTCTTCAGTTTAAACCCTATGTACAGGTTTTCTATTCAACATATTAGACAAAAGTAAGTCTTGGTTGTATTTTGTTTGAACTGACCTATATGAACATAACTCAGCCATAAAATAACAAGTGAACTTAAGGTTTCCTGTTGAGGTAGCATGCCAAACCCCCGAAAATAAAATAACTTATGTCACAAATAACAAGCAAGATAAAAGCTCAACTCATTTATTTCCTTCAAAGTGTGTTAATTTTACATTTATTGTTCATAATATACAAAAATACAAAAACATGGGACTGTGGCATTTACATTATATATATTTTTGAATCCGCCCTGAGGCTCTGTCCCTCATAGACCATTAAATACACAAACAGCAAAAGTTATCAACAAACTGTGATAGTGGAATAAAAGCGAGACACACAAATAAAAACAATGAACTTAATAACTAATGCGGAAAACAGGATTTGACTGGTTTAAAACTAGTTCTACTTTTCTTGAAAAATGCACATTTTTAAAACTATGAACAGGATAAGACTGAAATCACCATTGTATGCTGCGGTGATAGTAAAATGTAGCTGCTCCACAAAGTGGTGTTGACCATTTGTTTATGTGAATTAAACTTTACGCAAAAAGGACGGGATCAGATGCCCAATATATTCCCATTAATTTTGTCCACAATATTATTTATAAGTCTTTCTGCAGTGCAATTTGAGAATATACTACAGTGATATTAGCTAGTATGACTTTCCTTTCAAAGCTTAATTAAATTTGAAACATTTTTGATTATTCTAGCCTTGTGAATGATGTGGTTTTAGTATATGACTTTATATATCTATAGAGAAATTGTACAATAACCTGCTGCCAAGTTTGGGAATCACAGCAATGGGATATTTCGTTGTTGCAAGCCAGTAAAAGTTGAATCAGTTACTTATTATGCATATATTGATAACACGGTTTCCTTATTTGACAATTTTTCACAGTAAAGAGACCCATGTTTGAATTTGGTGTACTATCATCCTTTTCAGCCATTTCCACAGTAAACCAGGTTGTACATAATTTTGTTGGTTGACCATCTCTTCATACTTGCATTTTAAATACAAATAAATAAAAAATGGCTATAACTGGAAAATTCGACCACCACATCTGATGAGGTTTGACTGCGTAACTGCAAACTGGTCACTGTACAGTCAGTGGACCCAACTGCATGCGTTGTCAAATTGAAATTCATAGCAACATCACATCATTTGCTCCTCCACTCTTGTTCTAGTGCAGAAATGATGGCTAAACTTGAGCTTAGTTGAGGAATCGGCGGCACCTCCTGGCCCCACAGTTACAGTGCAGCTTGCTGTCCTCATCCTCAATGGGGAACTTGTAGTCATAGGTTAGCTCCTCTCCTCTGTAAATCTTTCTCAGGGCAAATATTACGATGTGCTTGCGTCCATCCACATTGATGACGCGCGAGTAGCAGTTGGGCTCACACGAGTGGTTTATGAAGCGCGCCGCGTTCCCCTGCATCGTCGCGTCAACCACGTCAAAGTCGTCAATGCGGAACATGTAGCAGCCAATGCCCTGAACGGGATGAGTCCAAAGACAAGTCAGGAAAGTTGGCATTTAAATATGTAACATATATATAACATATTTATATCTAACTATTTGATATATTTCCATTTTATATAATACTGTCTTGTTTGGTTGATTTGTGCTAATTAAAACACATCTTATTAAGAGTTGTGTATAATACTAATCTAATACAAATAAAGTGACCAAAAAGAGAATGAGGTAAAAACTACAAAAATGTAGGAAACTTAATAACTACTACTTCTTATAGCAGGCAGGTTAGCAGAAATTTGGTGGCCTGGGGCAAGAAGCTTTACATAGATCCCCCTCTAATATAAATTAATAGGAAGAGGATCCAATTCTGTGCCCCTAAAACCCTGGGGTATGGGACAACAGCCCCAATTTTCACAGGTTTAAAATATAAAGTAAATTTAATAATAAATTAAGTCTAAACTCATCTACAATACCATTTGACTTGGATTATTTCATTTGCTATTTTTATATTTTATTTCTGTTGTTGGATCTACAGTGTCTCAAGAAATGCAACCCAGCCAATTAACTGTTTTTGTCTAATCAAAATGTAAACCCACGGAAAAAAAAATATTTGAGATAGTTTTCCTCATCTGTGTACAATCCTGGGGCAAGTTTATTCAATTTTTGTTATTATAATATATTGTGATGTGTGAGCTTCTGTGTCCAAATAAACAAACTATTGATCCACAAGCGAAATTAAGTCTAATTTTACGTCTTAGTATCTCACCCCATCCTTAATGGTTACATATTATTCATTAACATACGTATTTGTTTTTACGAACCTTGCTGTCGTAATATTTCTCTCTTTTGTCCGTGAGTACAGCTCTAATGACCGCTCCAGCGTATTCGATCACCATCTCACCAGCCTCAATGTTTCGTTTACAGAAAAGGCCTCTTCCGTGGATTGCAGATCTAAAATAAAGTAAAAAAAAAAACAATTTAGCAAATGCTTTGGTTTAATTAATATAGAGCAAGAATAATGTAGCAAATCTTTGGACATACCTGTAAACTCCAACTGCCTCTTTGGAAATTTTCTCCAGATGTCTGAACCTCATAGCCATAGGGAGCTCAGTGCTGGTGAATCGTCTGCTCAGGAACAAAATAGATTAATTTATCTTTTTTTTTCAATGACAGGATGCAGTATGATAAAAGATGGAGTTACCTGGAAGATTTCAGAGGAAAATCATCATCTTCTTCCTCAAAGGGACCAATGATCTCAGGGAGAGCTCTATGTTGCGATGCCAGGAAGTTAAACATATCGAAGGTGGCTTTCCTGAGAAATAAAAAGAAAAGTCAATACAAAAATATTGTTTTAGCAAGTTTCTTTTGTTTTTGATGCTCCAAGTCTGCCCCCCCTCCCTTGGCTGCATGCGTTAAGTCACTCCACCTTCAGCGCTAATCTCAACACAATCAGCTGTATCCCGCTGATGAAACTCGTGCACATCGCATTGGGTTTGCCAAGTGTATGGTTTGGCATTGTGTTTGGTATATTTATGGAGAACTGTTGTAGGCTTGTGGGCTGAACAGTGCACAGAATCTCACAGCTAATCGTGAGGAAGATTCAAATAGGGCCTGGGAGGGAAAATACTAAAATACTCAAACATGTATGGATGACTCTTCAGGCATGTTTTTAAATGAGGGAACAACATTACAACATGGTAGAAAGCTAAAAAAATGCATAATACCCCCACCCTCTTTCATTATAAAAGTAATTGGCTTTATTTTTAGCATGCTGTAGCACCAGAACACCACAAGAAGAGTAAATTTAAAGTGTAGCATTTTTTGTGGCTGCATTTTGCATTATAATAGTTGGATCATCTTTTGTGTTATATCTATGCCCCTAAGCATGCCCATAAGCAGCCAAGTGTAGTACCGTGTGCAGACTTCGGCCCGGGCACAGCCGCTGGGGTTGAGGGGTAGTTCTTCTTCTTGGTTCTCACAGCGGTGGAACCTGAAGCGGTGCTGTTTGCAGTCAGCCGCTCCCTGAAGCTGCTCCAGGAGGAAGAGCACCGCGTCATGGAGGAGACCCAGCACCCGAGGCCCATTCATCCCACCTAGAGGCAACTGTTTCAGGTGAAAGTCTGCTCGCGCCTCCAGCACGCCGTCAATCACCGCCCGCCATGCCACTGAGGAGAGAGACAGCTTATGTGACCAAGGAAAAAAGACTATTTGACATCAATCTCTTTGAATTAATAAAAAGTATGAAGTATTTTAATCTAACAAATGTAGGTCTCAGAAGTGAAATGACAAACATGAGTCTCTGCCTGCTGAATTAGTACAGTACAAATGCATATGGTCATCCAAAACTCAGCTGCCCACATCATCACACCGGTCCTACAACAACTCCACTGGCTCCCTAACACACACTGCATTCAATACAAATATACACATTCACATTCAAAGCCCTCCTACAACCTCACTCCTCCACATCTGAGCTTCACTACATTGCCACATTTGCCCACTTCCTCTACTCCTCCTCTCTCCGCTCCTCCTTCAGCTGTTTGCTCTGTCCCTTTCTCACCAGCTGTTACCCCTGCTCCTCCTTTTTCTATTGCCAGTTCTGTTCCCTCTACTCCTCCTCTCAGCTCCCTGTTCCCTATGCTCCTCCTTTCTTCCTTCATTCCTCTTCCCAGCTGTTCCCTCTGCTCCTCCTCTCTTTCCACTCCTCTCTCCAGCTCTGTTCGCTCTGCTCCTGTCTCACTCCTCCTCTCTCCAACTCTCTGTTCCCTCTGTTCCTCCTCTTTCTCCCTTCATTCCTCCTCTCTCCAGCTCTCTGTTCCCTCTGCTGTTCCTCTTTCCACTCCTCCTCCTCTTTCCACCTCTCTGTTCCCTCTGCCCGTCTCGTCACCATGGGGAGCAGAGCCTTCAGTCACTCTTGAACACTCTCCCTCTTGACCTCCAAAACACTGACTCTCATACTTCAAATCCAAACACAAAACACAACTGTTCAGACTGCCCTGTTGAATTGTGATTTTTATGTCTTTTTTATTCTGTAAAGCAATTTAAATTACTTAACTGTGTATGAATTGTGCTATACAAATAAATTGCCTTGCCTTGTATGCTTTTAACTGTATGTTTTATATTGTATTTAACTTAGTTCTGTAATTATGCTTTTATATTTGTTTATTGTTGTAAGGTGACCTTGAGTATACAGACAGGTGCCTAATAAATAAAATGTATTATTATTATTATAAAAAAGTATGCCTCTACCTTCTATACTGTTAGCTTTGACGCTGAAGCCATCATCACTGGTGATTTCAAATCTCAGATGTGGTTGGTTCATACATGTTTTCTTTCTGAATTTGAGGGCAGGTGGCTCATCTTCTGAACTGACTCCTAAAATATAAGACAAAGAAAAAGATAAATTAGGGATTTTAGCCTTTATGTAAACATTTTGGTTTAAAAATGTAACAGACCTGAATAAGGGCCCCACTCTGTGAGGTCTCCGTGCCGAGAGCTCACCCACTTGTGCGTTTTACTGTCCATATCACAGTCGCCTGGTGCCACATCAGCTCTGGGATATCTGAGCAGACAGAGGACAAACAACACACTTATATATAAATACATAATTAGGCAACTTACTATTGAAATGTAAATCCTGGTGCATTCCCATTATGTCAATTTAACAAGTGCTCCAGGTCTTTGGCTTCTTCAGGTGGCACCTGTGTGGGTTGTCTGGCTGGCCTTGGTTCAGCAGGGGACTTGGAATGGCAATTAACTTTGGCTGTAGTTATGCATTTTTAGATATAGGTTTATGTTTTGCATTTTTTCATGTTTTTATCCCTTTAGTAATGAATACAAATAGAAACATCTGCAGTTTTAGAAATGATGAAATGTATCGCTTCTTAGTTCTAAAAGGTGCTGTACCTGATTTTTACCATCTTAAAAACATGAAAAACAGAACTAGCCCCAAGTTATTTGTGACTTATGCAGCCTAAATGTTCACCATAATGAGTTTATAGAGGCTTTTAACAACTTTCAGACACCAGAGTCGAGTTATGACTATTGTGTGATAAGAGATAAAACATAATAACAAAAATACCTGCTGGGTTTTGGAGCTGGTGGTGCCACGATTCGAAGTGGGTCAGGTTCCATTTTATGTTCTTCGTCCAGATCAAGCACGTCCTTCAACGATGGAGCCTTTATCCGAACACCGCTGAATTTACTGCAAAAATAAAATACGTACATGAGACACTGATCAAAACGCAAGAATTCCGTTTCTCTTTTTTGGGGGTATGTTCAAGATTAGTATATTCAGCACATCATATTTGTGTGTGTTGCCTGTAAATAACATGGTTGGGGTCAAACACAGCTCAAATTTATCATTAATTTTTCAAAACCCAAGAAAATTCAAGTATGCAATGTTCAATCTTTCTCTTTTTTTAATTTTTTTTATAAGTATTAACTATAGACTGTATAAAGAAGTGTTCTTAGGAGGTATGATGTCATCCATAACGTTCAGCTCCAGTCAAATGAAGCTCACAAAGCAGGTTAATACAAACATTTTAAGACCAAAATGACAAAGCTCACTGCAGCCGTTACAGAGAGAGTGATGAACATTTTTAATAATTTACTGGACCCAGACTCGATAGAGCCAGATGTGACCCCATTATTGATTGATTGATTGCCCCCCCCCATGAACACTTCCTACGCAGAGGCTAGCAGGTTAGCCATGCTCATTTATATACAATCTAAGGGGTTTAACTTAAGATGTCTCAAAAGTCAGCAGCTCAGAAGATAAACATTATGATGGATGTGACACTTGAAGTTTTCCTTTGAGAAATCTCAGGAGCTGAAGCAGGACTAATGAAGGGACGGTTCAACAAACAGTGGGGCACAGGAGCAATTGTCAATGTCAACACACAAACAGAAGAAATATTTGATTACAATTACACATTAGATAAACATAAAAATATCACCAATGAAAGCTGCACATTGTATAAAAGAAATATATTTATATTATAAGCCCTCACACTTCTGGGGAAAGGTGCTTGTTTACTGTTCTAAAATTCATTATGAAACAGATAAGCACAAAAATCAACAATCCATCAAAATGTGCAAAAACTTTGCCAAAAGTTAAAAGTTTGCCACCTTAAACATAATCTATGGCGCTCAACAGTGACCGACTGGAAATTAAATTTCCTATTCATTTATCTCAGACTTTCAGAAAAAAAATGTATATTAAAAGTTCGAAAGCTAATTTGCTAAGTGTTAATGACCACCTATAAATTTAATTTAAATCTGTTTCTAAAACTTTATAAACTGCAAAGTTATTCATACAGTTTGCTTAATCCTGGATATGGTTTAAAACATTAAAACATGGATATTATATATTATTATAATATAGATATTAGTTAGCACGTAGCTGGTACGCCTCCATCATGCCTTTAAACATTAGAATTGTTCGAAAAGTCTGTGGGACAAATTAATGGAAAATGTACTTCCAGAACTGGAGTGAGCGGAAAACAATTCACAATTTACCTGTCAGCGTCCTCTGGATCACTTGCATCTACAAGATAGTCCAGCTTGGATTTCTTCCTGCTCGGGCGTTCAGATAAGGATGACACCCTCTTGACTCGGACCTGGGTGCGTGATGAGGTCTGTGCGATAGCACTGGGGTCAGTGAGGGGGGCATTTTGATCTAGTTCAGACGGTGAAGCAAAGGGCACGTTCTGAACAACTGGATCAGGTTTAGACTTAGGTTTTCGTCCGCCTTTTCTTATAATAATAGGTTTTGTCCTTTCTACTTCACGATGTGTTGCCATTGCCTTTTCGATGATGGCTTGGGCAGAGTCCTCTTCTTTAGAAGGCTGGGGTTCAGGAGTCGTGATGGTAACAGGAGAAGTGGCTGGAGATGAAGAGGGGACAGTTTTTACCATTCTGAAAACTATCCTTTTTTGGGTTAGTGGATTACTGCTATCCACAGCTGAAGGGACAGTGATGGCTGCAGGAATAGTTATAGTAGCTGGACTTGTTGTACTCAATGACACAGTTGGAGGTGGTAAGCTCATAGCTGTGACAGAACTAACTGGTATTGTGGGGGTAGGCAAGCTCACTGCAATAGCTTGATTCGAGGTGGTAGTTTCTGAAGTAGTGGAGGGCGTTGCCGTGGCAGTCTGGGGTCTTATCACAACACGCGGGACGTTGCGTTGTAAAGGACTCCCGCTATGAAGAAGTTTTGCAATCTGGCTTATCTTGTTGTACGCTGGAGAGTTTGTGCTAACCGCTTGATATGTATTACTTCTTGGGTCTTTTATGAGAATTTGCCCTTGTCTGTTCACTAATAAAACCTGAGGAGCTGGAGTTGTGGCATTCGCATTGGCCATAGCTGCCTGATTGGTAGCGCCTTGTTGTTGATCTAGTGGTTTTGTATTGTTTAAACGGATAGCGATAGATCTTCCCCGCGGTGCACCAGGTTGAATAGGCAAAGCATTGAGTCCATTGAGTACAATAGGTGAGGTGACAGTGCGAGGGACAGTGCCAATCGTAGCCACTTTAGCTACTCCAGGAGAACTTCCAACAGACGGAGAAGGCAATACCAGTCTGACTTTGTGCTGTTGGGGCATAACAAGATTGATCTTTCTGGGAGGGGGTGTAGGTGTAGCCTGTTTTATTGCAATAGGTTTCACTGGGGGTTGCAGTTTTTTAGGGGGGCTAGGAAGTTCTGGGGCGTAATCAGGATCTTTCAAATCATCTTTAAAACCTTCAACAGATTCGTCAGAAGAGCTAGTGCTGCTATCATCGTCATCTGCGTTGTTTTTTGATGCAGATGTGAAATGCCCCGTTTCTGCGTCAAGGAGGACATTGTTATCAAAAACTGAAGAGGGCGTGAGGGGCTGCTGGTTGCTTGAACTTTGTGATCCACTGTAGATTGACTCCAGTTGTTTAATAGCTGCAGATTGGGTCTCTTTGTCCATAATTTCGCTACCATCACTGTCAGACTCCCCATCGGCCCCATCTAGCTGCATGATAGACTGAGCTGGGTTAAGATTAGGGGCATCTGAGCTGGAGGGCACATCAACAACAGTTCGAGAAAACTTTATGTAACGTTTTGAATCGTCATCCTCTGCTTCGTTTCCCTGCTTGACAGTCTCACCTTCCCCCTTGTTGGTTTGACAGCTAAATGCCATATTTTCTGATAGCAAGTTATCGTCAAACTCAAGCTTAGCGTTTAACATCGAGTCCACTGCTACATCTGTGTCAAATACTGTATAGGGCAATTCTTGAGACATTAACTGTGCAACTTCCTCCTCCAAGTTATCAGGGGCAAGTGAAATCCCGTTTGTAGTTGCGACCGCTGCATCTTCTGCCTCGGATGAAGCCAGAAAGTCTTGAGGGACCTCTGCTGAAACAGGAGTGGTGATTTTAAAGCTATGCCTTCCTTTTGGAGAGTTACTGAGGGACCCACGATGAGGTGAGAAACCGGATGTGGTCGGAGAGCCCCACACCGGTGAGGTAGAGTTTTGGCGAGACAGTGGCGGTGAGAGGGTGCCGATGGCAGCTGAGCGCGGAGGGGAGCTGAAGAGGGAGGTTCTGGTACCCCCGGAGCGGTGGGCGGCGGGGGCGGAGGGGTCAGTATCTGAGGGGGAGGAGCTACAGCGACTCCGGGATGAGAGACGGCGAGTACGACGTGTGTCCTCCAGGTCCCGAAGTGTGACAATGTGATGAGGTTTGGGTGGTGCTGTCCCTAAAAATTAAGAGAAAAGTAAAGTTATTAATAATGGACAAAAAAATACTACTTTCATACAGCACTTATGATCTTTTACATAAAGTTACAGCACACATCTGCTGTTTTTCTTTCCATAATCAGTTTTAGGCATTTGTTTAAACTTTTGCTGCTTTTTTCCTGCATAATTATTTCATGGTTGGATTTGCTTTTATTGTTTTAGGACTAGTATGATAAAATTTTTAGCTATTCTAACTTTTGTTGTTGTCTTGGTCTCTGTGCAGCACTTTGGAAACTGCTTTGTTTGTAAAATGTGCTATAGAAATAAAGTAGATTTGGATGTATTTTAAACCAGTGAGGTTCAATGACTTGAGACATTAAGCTATTGAACCATAACTAAATATTATGCTGAACATTTCTGTATTTAAATCAAAATAAAATACAAAAAATGTCAGAAATTTGCAATAAGGAAAGATACTGTATTGCAGTAATAACAAATTCAACAAATGACATATATTCAGTCTACCTGGCGATGGTAAAGGCCTGGACGATCCCCCGGCTGGTCTCCGTGCGTGTGGGTAGATTGGACTCTTAGATCCAGATGTATTGTGCATTTTAGGGGAGGGTGTACTGGACTTGACAGGACTAACTGGGTAACTTTCACACTCCATGGACTCCAGATCTGACAAAAAACATTAAATTAAAAAATGTAAAAAAGGTAATCTGTTATTAAATGTCCAACAGTTCGATTCTCCTCACCTCTGTGGTGGTTTGGGCTGTGGATGATAGTGTGGTTTTCTCCTTGGTCGAACTTAGCATCTTGTTCTTCACCGGGGAGCGGTGTGCTGACCTCAGTGACTTTACATGTGTACTTACAGCGCCTCCGCGGGTCCACGGTGCTCCAGTATAACCGAGAACATCTGGACAGGGAGAAATTAAAGGTGCATTATGTAACTTTTCTAGTGGAGGGGCTGTCATCTGATTTTTTTTTTAACTTGGAGATTTTTTTATAATTTATTTTTGCATTTATTTTTGTGTGTGACAGTACAAACAGTAAGAGACATTAGACATTTTGACTTGACGGGATAGGGAGACTTGCAAGGTTTGATGGGGGTGACGAGACAATAAGAATGGCTTCTGTTCTACTTATACGGGAGGGCAAGTGTGTGTGTGTGTATGAGCAGGTAAGTAATAAAACAGAAGAAATAAGAGGGTAAGGGTGAGAAAAATGTTAAATATAATGGAGATTTTATTGCTATGTATTAAATTTGTCTATCTTGCATTTATTTAATTATAGGCGTTTTTATTGCTTAAAATAAAACAGTCTCGTCACTGAACTGGCATGCAACTTGGCTTGGTGGTGTCACTATTTTGTCTCCAAGGAAATGGATACATTTAATGCAATACTGTGAAGCATTTTGGACAAAGCAACAACATCTCCATTAGAGACAAGGAGGTCACAGATCCTCTACCAGAAAAGTTACACAGTGTACCTTTAAACCATTAAAAATTATCACATGAAAATTGTCAACTTTCCAAAGCTCATTTTAACAAAATAAGCAGGATCAGGGATTCTTTATGGAATATTTTTTTACTCACTGATATCCAACTGGATACAGCGCTCTTCCATTTGATGAGAGCTCTGTTAAAACACCGAGTTTGTGGATCTGAAGGGAGCCTGTAATTAAGAAAAGAAAGTTGCTGTTGGAAAGTGTTGGAAAGAAAGTTGGCATAAGGAATTAGAAAGTTTATAGGTTCAGATCAATACCAAAATCTATACTTAAAAGGCCTTAATATTCACATTGGCATTAGAAGATTTCCATTTACTTTAGAATTATTTCAATATAAATAACATGTTGCCCAAAGTAAAAGTCTACGAGTAAAATCCATAGATTTACCAATTGACATGTTGATGGACTCTGGTTCGAGGCCAGTCAGAAACTTTCTTTTGAGATTAATCCCGTGAAAGTCCACATAAACTCTGCGAGGCACTTCAAACTCCTCCACCACCTGGAAATCAAAATCAGAAAAACATAAATCACATGTATTCTGCATGTATGTAACTTAATTGTCGTTTTGTTTTTAATGTCATCTTTATATGCTCAGCACTTTGGAAATGGTTTTGTTTATAAAATGTGCTATCTAAATAAAGTGAATTTGACTTGTTTACAGTGATAAAATGACATTAGCTCACCTTGTCACTGATGAGCTCCCTGTGTCTGTTGCAGTAGACTTTGCGGTCATGCTGAAAGACACAGTTCTCAATTCGAGCGCACATGAAGTGGAAGTTACTTTGGCAGGACATCAGACAGCAGCCCACTGTCGCTCCAGACTGACCACAACGATCACACCGCTAAAGATGAAAGGTAGACATTAGGAAATATGACCCAGCTTGGAACAATCTGAGGATATATGTAAAAATAATAATTATAATATTAGGCATCTCTTTATTTCACATTAGTAACAGAAGCTTTAAGATAAAATTTATTTTATGGATCTCCACAAAAACAGAGGGTAAATAGGAAGAAAACCTACTACATTTAACAAATTGAGCTTAACTATAAAGGTGAGGTGAGGTAAGGTAAGGTCCCTGTAAATTTGTCCTCTGCATTTGAGCCATCCTTCAGTGCCGCTGGGGCATCTTCTCAGGAGCAATGAGTACAACAATACAGCGCGCTCAGGGACCCATCTCCATGATCTTGTTGCTAGGCTTGGTCAGAACTACCTTAGCTTGAGGATTTTTATGTAATGCATGTTTTGGTTAATGGGGAAAACCGGACTGCATGAAGGAAACCCCACCCACACATTGGCCGAAACATGCAAACTCAACACAGAAAGGCCCCAAAACCTTCTTGCAATGAAGTGAGTGCTAACCAGCATGTCAAATGTAGAATGTACAGAGGAAAACTAAGATGCAAATGATATTAAATGTACACACTTTTGATAATTGTATGTTAAGCTAGGAAAGATTTGTCTGTTTATCCCTCCTCAGAAATGAAATCCTTTTATATGTATTACCAAGTGGCGCCCCCTAGAGACAGCACTGTGGACTTGCAGCAGAGCACCGTTGTCCTCATACACCTCTGCAGACCACAGGCAGCAGTTTATATGAGCCCACTCATTCTGCCCCATGTACAACAGCCGGCCTTGGTCCTGTTGAATGGAGTGATGACAAATTAATAAAGGAAAACAATACTACTTAAAGCCACTCAGAGCCATGATGATGACCGCTGCCTAGGCCCGCAGATCCTCCATCAGAAAAATTACACAGAGCACCTTTAAATGTTTTTTTTTTTTTTTTAATCTTTGCACCCCGGCTTCTCAACCGTGAAAAATGCTCCATGGCCGTAATTATTATTATTTTGGTTGTAGTCATTCATAGAATTTAATCCCCAAATTCAGTACAAATCCAATAATACTGACATTTCATGTCTATGGTAGGGGGCGCTATTGCGGCGCCATAGTAGGTCAAAAATGAGATTTCCTACAAAGAAAAAAATAAATAAAACCACAAACTTAACTCTCAGGAGAGAATAAACCAAGAAAAAGATTTGGAATTGAAAAAAACTCAATGATTCTCTCCAGAAAAAAAACAAGCAACTGCAAGACCAGATTAATTTACATAAGGAGATCCGGTACTTGTGCAACTCTGCAGTACAGGAAAATAAGCATCTGAAGTAAAAACGTTCAAACTTCAGAAAAGTCAGGAATAAGACAGATGATTTGGAGATGCAAGAGCTCAAAACTTCTCTCCAGAAGAAAGACAAAGAGCTAGCAACCCAAATGAATACATACAAGGAGATCCAATATCTATGTAACAGTTCAGTGAGAGAAAGTGTCCAGAGAAAACACTGAAAAACTTACACATGGAGCAGCATCACCACTTTGTTGACACAGCATACACTGTCTCCCATCTTTTGTCTTATTGTACTCATGATCATGGACGAAACCTATTATAGTAAAAAAAAAAAAAAACAACAACAAAAAAAACAAACCTTTATTTACCACTGCTTTAAAATCACGTATTTGCACAATGAAATTTCAAGAATGACATGACAAAAAATTTACTGAGATGTGAATACTGTGCAGTTATCGCCTATATGTACAGGAAATTAGTCTAAATGCTCATTTGTTAATTGAGACTGAAAAGGGGAGGGATTACAGTAGTATTTACTTTTTCCCATTGCCTTTTGGAAATAAGCAAGCTATATTTGACAATTGCTTTTGTTTGCAGTTACACAAAAGACGTATTTATTTTTTCTATTATACATATGCATGTTTTATGCAAAAAATGTAACAAGGATTTGCCAATCCTTACCTCGTGTTTGAAGAGCCAGGGTGGACAGGTTTGAGAGTGGCGCCCTCTGCTGGTATGACCTCTCCATCCACTGTGCATAGCTGTGCTCTTTGGATGGTGGGAGGACGGCCTCAGGGAGCATACCACTAAAAAGGCAAAAAGAAAATTGCAATGCAAACTTCTTAAAAATATTCTGTTAAATTAGTGAATATTGCTTTGAAACTGCAAAAATGTGAATAATGTAGTAGTAGTTTACCTTGGATATTGTTCAGAAAATGAGTTGCAGTTTTTTAGATGACTCTGAGGAAACCAAACAAATATCCGTTCCATCAACTGTAACAAAACAAAACAGAAAAAGTTTAGACATAATTTAGCCTTAGCGTTAGTCTTTACAATAACAGGACAAAGATTCATAGTATTATTGTAAGTAAGCATTTTTAGTAGAGTAAGTATTTGTGAAAGACCTTATGAAATGAGTGAACTTACTTTGACATAATGATCTTTGGCTGCGCTGGTTCGTCTTTGATCCTCAGGAAGCGCCTCTTCCTCCTTTTGCCACTTCCTCAAAACAGAAGCCACATCGGCATGGAAGGTTTTCTGGATGCGCAAAAAACATGATAATGTCAGAACACGTTTTATAAAATACTTAGATGCAGTAAATGTAAAATGTAAGTGTGGATATACTCACAACTGAGTCATAAACAGCAGATTTGAATTTCTTCTCCACAGCTTGAAGATCACAGACTGAATGACCCCTGTTGTATTCTGGAGGCTGGGATTCGTAGCACTGCAAAATAGAATGAAATGGAAAATGTTAAAATGTACAAATGAGTCTGGAAAAAGCTATATAAATTCCACATTATTCTACTTACTCATTTAGTGAAGTATGAGATTTAGTTTATTATATCAGAAAGTTTTATTGCCATTGTCAGTGTCAACAAAATTCACAAACAACGAATTTGCTTTGGTGTTATGGTGCAACATGAAACAAATAATAATATAAAAAATGATAAAACAGGGCATGCAAAAAAATAATTGGTTAAAGGTGTTTAAAGTAACTGGTGTAACTGGTGGTATTAGACATTTAATTAATCAATGAATTCTTACCCGTTTACAGATTAGGAGATGCTGAGTGGTGCTGGAGGAGAGGAGGTCTGTGAGCACTTCTTGGAGCTGAGCTGTGAGCCTACTCTGGAGCGCCCCCTTCAGACTGCTGCCCTCAGGTGTATTGCACGGAGAACAGGTGAAAGGCATCTCCTCCGCTAGGCTTGAAAATAACTCGAACAGTTCCTCTGTGACAAGAAAGAGTTGCTTAAACCACTGCTAAATCTGTACTTTGTTAGAACCAACATCATTAATTAAAAGTAACAGAAATGGGTTTTAAATGTTTTTTTTTTTTTTTGTATAATGCAGACCTGAAATCCCTTCACATTTTGCATGAATCCAGCGGTTGCACTTTGAACACTGAATCTGTTCATGTTGGCTGTTGTCTTCGTAGCATTTTTGGCAGATGGTGCAAAAGTTTCCTAAAATAAATAAATAAATAAAAGGTTAGACAATTTTTTTCTTTGTTATTATAATATATTGTGATATGAGAGCTACTGTGTCCAAATAATTTCCCTTGTGGATCAATAAAGTTTGTCTAAGTCTAAGTCTGAAGTCTAACATTTCAACCTAATATTACTTCACATAATATTTGTCTGACCTTTCTCATACAATGCAGTGCAGTCAGGACAGAGATCCTGTTTTTGGTTCCAGGCCAAGTCCCACGTCTTCCCCCGGGTCACGCCACAACTTTGACATCTAATACAAGTCATGCACACCTGGATAAGAAATAAATAATGGTAATAGTTTTAAAATACAGAAATGGGCAGATAAATGGTAGTGTACAATGCATTTATTTACCCAGGGCACGTCACAGTTCAAAGGTTTGGGATAAGTTGGTCCTAAACATGAAGGATGGTATGAGGTTTGGCATCGCCTGCACTGCAAAACAGGCTGAGGAACAAAAGTTAAGTAAATACATGATTTTCTATATTCTACAGTTTTTTTTTAGCTTTAATATTTATCATGTGAACCATAAACATTTCAACTCAAAAATAAAACGTCAGAATACCTTTGAGGATTTGCTTTTACGTCCGCACACGTGACAAAACTTGCAGCGTCGACAGCACCAATTCTCCTTGTTCTCCTCTTGGGGGCGCTCTTCAGGTAATAAACAAAAACTGTGGAAAGGCTCACAGCAGATCTGGCAGTAAAGCATCTGTTGGGGATTGCAGCACATTTAAATTAGTAACAATGGGTAACAATGTTTATAAAAATGTGTTTTGTTTATGTTACCTCGTGTTGTCCTTGACTGGCACAGAGCAGACAGACTGGCTGAGGTGTATTTGGGAGAGAAGCCAGGACACTGAGGCCCCCCATCAGCCACACGTTCTCCAGAGCACAGTCCTCCTGATACAACATGGAGTATAAGCAGTTAAGAATAAAAGTATGCATTGGACATATATTTAGCACACAAAAATATGATTAATTACTTTACTATTCTTAATTACTTTGCTTAAATGTATGACTTCTTTCATTTGCCATATGCCATTAGATTTTGTTTTTATTTTTTCATAATTTTTCATTCAGAAACATAATTGTGAAGATTAGAGGTGGGAGATGCATAAAAAATAGCTTTTTTTTTTTTTTTTTTTTTTGGACAAAACTCGTCTTTTGTCAATAACAGAAGCTAATCAAAAGGCTCCATAAGGACAGGTTAAAAATAAAGCTTAATTTACACTTGCCATACTGTTTAGCACATTTCTGGATAGTGTCATGCCTCCAATTATTAGAATATCATGAAAATGTTCAAATGTTCAAAGCTTTCAAGCATCATTCTATGTGTAATTAATAGGGGGGTGAAAAAATATTGAAATATCGATATATCGTATCGTTTAATGTGATGATACAGTATCAATATAGGTGGCTTCTGTATCAATATATCACCAAGAATATTTTTTGGCATATTTTACTAAATTATTTTGTTACAGTGCTACAGTTGTTTAGAGGAAGGAAACTCGTTTAACATGACATATTCACTGTTTCGATGATTAAAATGTTTGCGTTTCATATGAATTTGGTTTAACAAAGACTTTTAGAATCACAGCCATGACTTAAACATAATTTTTTATTGAACTGTATCGAATCGATTTGAAATATATCATAGTGAATCGTATCAAATCGTAAGATCACTGTATCGAAGTATGTATCATATTGGCAACGTCTGAATGATACCCAGCCCTCGTAATTCTATCTATATAATATGGATTTGCTTCTGAAATGAATGATAAAAAATATTAAACTTTATTATATTCAAATAATTGGAGATAATATATATATATATTTTTAATGTATAAAAAGTAATTTGTCCATATAGATTTTTGGTATTTATTTAACAAAACTCACCTTGAAGTCCACTCGAATCTTGTGCTTGGTCTGCAATGGGGCCTTTAGGGAAAATCCATTAGTTAACCCCGACCCGTTCAAGGAGGCGTACTCCAAAGGATTCTGGGGACGAAGGAAATAGTGTGCGTCAGTGTTGTGACAGTGTCTCACAACTGTCATCTGTCCTAAAAAAGCGCCTCCATCTTCTTTAGCTCCATCTCCACGATTGTCCATTGGCTCCATTTGTGTCCCCTTTGACGTTTCAGTGTGCACTTCAATAGTGTGAGATGGGACAGGTGCAGCAGTGTTCGGAAAATTGTCGTTCACATTTAAAGTTTTTTGGTCCTTGCATTTTGGAGTGGTAGGATAACAAATACGAGAACACACAAGGGCTTTCAGAGCACTAAAATTGAAGTTTTTTTTTTGGTCTTTTTGAAGTGGCGTAGGTTTGTGCAAAGATGCTTGGACTAAAGTGTTGGGTAATCGGTGCAATCTCAAATGCATTGATTTTTTCGCAGAATGTGAATTTCCGGAACATTCTTCTGAACTGGTGCAATGTCTTTTTGGAGGTCGAAATGAATAAGGTGACAAGTGAAACGATCTTGGTTCTGACCACTCAGGGGGGAATGACAAACTACTGTGCAAAATCGACTCAGGCAACCGGGACAGTCGTATTTTTGGCGTGCTGTTGCAATGTTTTATGTCCCGTGGAGAGTGTGATTGAAAAGGGGGGGTTGGATGGGATAATGAAAGGTTAGTAGAGTCCAAGAGTTTGGGGAGTGGAGTTTGTGTATTTTCTTGAGGGACAGGAGATGCTAAAGGTGGTGATGTTTCAGTAGCTTCAGTAGCACATTGCAGGACAGTGTCGGGCAATCGGTTCAACTGAATAATGAGGGTGGAAGTTGGACTCATGGGGCTTTTTCCAGGCATTTGGAGGGAAAGAGAGGTAGGATATTTTGTTGGTGACAATATGGTATCAGCCTGAATATTATCCACTGACTGTGGCTGTTGCAGTTTCAATGATACATCAGATTCTAGGACAGAGGCAGGTAATGAGTCCAAGGGCAGTTTTGATGGTGTACTTGTAGAGGAATCTTTTATAAGCCAAGATGAAAAGTGAGGATTTGTTTTTGTTACAGTGGTTAAAAATGTAGCCGATTTTGAAATTGTAGAGCACAGTTCTATAGGAAGAGCTGAAAGAGAGGCTGGAGATTTTGTCGGAAGAGAAGCACATTTGGGTTCAGCCTGAGTGGGAGATTGCGAGATAGGGTCAGGCAACTGATCCGGAAGCAATGATGATGGGCTTGTAGGGCTCTTTCCATTCACTTGGGGAGAAGGAGGGTCAGGAGATTTTGTTAGAGGTGATGACAGTTTGGGGCTGGCCTGGGCGTAGGCTTGCAGGACAGAGTCAGGCAATCGGTGCAAGTGTATTTGAAGTTTCGGCATGGGGATCCTGGGAGGGCTCTGGTCTGGTTGAGGTAAACTGCTCTCCATCCCTTCGACGCTTTTCTCTGGTTGTTCCTGTGAAGGAGGGGACTGCCTAAGCCAACCAGCAAGACTGCAAACTTACACTAGTACTATTCACATGCAAAAGGCGGCAATTACAGGCCAGCTGATTTGAAAAGAGCAAGAGGAAAGTGTATTACAATTTGAAAGACAGCATTGGGTTAGCCAGAAGTGGGAAATTGTGAGGTAAGCAAGCACAAGCAACAAAGCAAATATAGGTTAAAAAAAACTGTCAACACCAAGAAACAACTAAACTGACTATTCTTATAATATTCTTATAATAATCTTATAATATTCCACCTAAAGCCATTATTATATTCTTCCTTAATGTCTCCAGGTGAAAAAAACAATGTATACTTCAAAAGTGAGGAACAAAAGTGTGGTGGCTTTAATCAATCAAAGTAAGCAGCAATAATTTTGAATAATTTTTTTGGTAATAGGCCAAATAAAAAATAATTGCATAAAAATATATAATTTATATTTTAACAATATTTTATATAATTATACAACATAGTATTACCTGAGAGTCAACAAAAAAGTACCTATTTTCACACCTATTGACATCTACGTTTAAACTGAAGTAAAACATGCAAGCATAGGGTCTACAAGCTTAATGATCATAATAAAAAAGAAACAAAAAAAAACACTGCAGAATCTCTCAGTGTTGTTTTCTACTTCAGTCTAACCAAAAAGGGCAAAGCAAATACAAGCAAAGCAGCAAAAAGCCATGCAGAGGTCAACTCCAGATTATCTCGTCTTGCTTTGGGAACAAAACCAGCTGTGCACATCTAAAGGGCATCAAGTAATACAAAGAACTTATAAAAAATAACTACAAATTATGAGAATTCGCAGTCTGCCACACGAATAGTTCACATTAGAAACATCTAAACAAATATTTTTTACAACTTCAACATGGTAAATTGGAAAATGGCTGGAAATGGAGATGGGATGTATGAAAAAAATAAAATAATTGAAATAAAAATGTTGTACATGCTTAAGGTTATAATTAGTCCAGCACAAATAAGTGTGAGAGGTGTCAGAATATTAAAATTATGAGCACCACAAAACTACCATGAATTTAAATTCTTAAAGTGACTACACTTCACTATAAAGAAATGAATTAGTAAAGAGCATGCATTTTGTAGAGAAAAGAGGAGTAGAAGATCCACAAGACGTATGACAAAGAACAGAAATCAATGGAAATAACAATGGAAAATTATCAGAAAAATCACCCCTAATCCCAGAAAAATAATAGCAGCGGAGATGCAAAGTGTGGCTGTAGTATTTTTTAGAAAATCTTGTAAAAGTAGATCCATAAACTTGATCCATTCATAAAGTCAAAGATAGTATGCGTTTAATTATGATGGCTAATTTATGTCAATGTATTTGATAAAGCAATCTATATATATCTGTTTCTGTATCCAAAAATACTACTTGAGCCAGGGCTTAAAAGGCAGTAAAGGGTTAAGTGAAGGAAAGCAGTGAATGAGTTTATAATTACCTTATTAGAACGAGGTTTGAATCCTTTAGTGAAAAGTCGGCGATGTTTCAGGGGTTCAGCGTCTGGCAGAAACTCGCCATCCTGAGAAGTGAGGCCTCAAGAAGAAGATAAAAATGTAAGGATAACGTTTTAATGGGGTTTTGCGATTATGATAGGGATGTGCAATAACCGAAATATTGTGATATTGTATCGTTAAAAGTCTCATAATAATATCGTGGGCCATCACAATATGTCGAATCACAAGTGTCTCTGCTTAAATTCACTGCTGTGGTGCAGTAGCTAAAAAAAAACAAAAAAAAAAACAGAGGGAACTACATAGACCATGATCCTTAGCAGTTTCAGTGCAGATTACATGAGGAAATAACTCATTAAGCACTTTTACATCTTAATTCGTCGTATTATAACAGTACCAAAGGCTTGTCATTTCATTTTAAAATGAAAAAGTAGCATATTCACAATTTTATAAGCCTCCACAAAATATCGCAATAAGTATAATCTTTTTTCATCTACTTTTCTGTCATAATGCAAATAATTAAGTTTTCATTATGTAGATTGAACTGAAACAGAGCAAAGGATCATGGTATATGTAGTTCACTTTTTTTTAGCTGTTGCTCCACCATAACAATAAATTTAAACAAAGAAACTTGTAATTTGATATCTTAACCCCCAATATTACTGTGAGATTTTTGACAATACAGAATCACAATATTTCGGTTATTGTCACATTCTTTATAAAATGTACCTTGGTTCCTGGCGCTGGTCTTGTTCGTGGCCTTGCTTTTGTTCTCCTCGTTCCCAGGGTCCTCCTCGTCTGAGAGTAGGTTGCTAAATGAACGTCGCTTCACGTTTCGCAAAGATTTCTTTTTTTCTTCAACCGGCACCAATGAACGAGCAACGCGAGCCACATATTCTTTTGACTTAACTAAAAAATAAATGAAACACAAATGGGTTGATACTTATGTTTTCTTGAAGGTGCAGAGTGTAACTTATCTGGAGAGTGTCCGCAACCTGATTAAATTGATCTGTCTTGCATTTATTCAACTATAGGTGTTATTTATTGCTCTGAAATACCTTATTACTTCTTCCTGTGAGTGGGTTGCCCCTCCGCAAATCTAACCTGTAATTTCACTTACAAGTCTCCATGGAGATTTATGGCCATACTGTGGAACATTGTTGGCACATCTCCATGGAGACGAACAGGCAAACAAGTTCGAGCTCCAGCAGACAAGTTACACAGTGCACTTTTGAGATCTAAAGCAGTCCAAAACATTGACACTTACTTTTGTATGGTTTGAGAATGCGTGCAAGTTTAGCCTTTTCAATGCGATCACATCTTCTGTATCTAAAAAAGGAGAATACAAAGAGTTGAAAAGTTTGAAGGGTTTTATAAAATTTAACTAATGAAGTTTGTGATGTTAAAGGGCCCATATTATGCTATTTTCTGGTCAAAATTGCATGTGGTTTCCTCATCAAAAACATACCTGGAGTTGCGTTTTGTTTCATTCACACATGTTTAACACACAAATTCTGCATAATTATTTCTCCACAGAAAACACCACCTTGTGATGTCTTCGGGTAATAATTTGGATAATTTCAGCCCTGGAATTGCCAATCTCGAAGAAATGGTAAAAGGAGCTGTTAACTTAAAAACTACCACTACATCACGGGGTAGAACAGAGCATTTTGAGCTTTGGAGATGTAGACAGAGTAATAATAAAGAATTGCTCAAACATGTGTGAATGAAACAAAACACAACTTCAGCTATGTTTCTGAGGACGTAACAACATTCTAACATGGCTTAAAGCTCACAAGTGTCAGCATAATATAGAACCTTTAAGTTTATAGGCAAACATACATGCAGCACTGCTTCTTGATGTTGAATCCTCCAAACTTGGGCTTGTCCAGGCACATGGCGCACTTGGCACAGTCCGTCTCCACAAGGCAGCCCTCACACTCGCCACAGCGCCTCGATCGGCTGCCCCCTGCGATGTACCGGGACTGGACCTTTCTCTTAAACTTCTTCTTCCTGCTCCTCCTCTTCAGTGGGATGTGCTCCTGTGCTGGCACCCATTGAGCGGCGTCCGGGTCTGACAGCTCATCATCGTCCTCCACCGCACCTGACAAAGTGGAGCACAGGTGATTTAATGTAACTGTTTTTGTCTCTAACTGTTTGACTCAACAACAGTGACAATAATAATAAAAGAAAAAACTGAAAACGAGAGAGTGGCTTGTGTTGGCTGGGTGTTCATTGAAGTAGCGAGTTTGGACACCACTTCCTCACCTTAAAGTAGGTGGAGCTCACTTGACCAGTGTTGGTAAAGCTTTCCAACAGCGGTGGCTAATCTGTGTGTGACAAGAAATATTTTTGCTGGCAAATATTGTATTCTTCTCTACATTCAGCTAAAGCTATTTGTTTATAGATTACACTACTAATTGATTACGACGTATTGATCTTTTTTAGTTTTGACTTCAATATCTGCTACTGTCACCAAGTTAGCTTTGCAAACATATGCAGTCTTAATGTAAAAGCAATAAATTGATCAACTATTCATTCACACCTCAATCACACAAGTGTACTGCTGAAGCAACAGCTGCCCTGTGGCAGAATGAGAAGACTGATAAGCTTCCTATTAACAACAACCAAACACAAAGTCAAGCAAACCCATCCAGGCAAGGTGTGTGGGTTCCAAAAAACACAATAAAAGTGTAGCAAGGGGAGAGCAGAATTTGAAACGCCAACCTTCCAGTTACAATGTCGGCACAATGAAGAAGATCGATTTCCTACCTGATGAATATGACTTCTCTTCGAGGACACAAAAAAATAAATAGTTTGGTTCTTCTTGTCCAGTAAACTTGAGTAACATGGTTTGTACAAGTGTAACATTGTGTTGGAGCATATCTCCTTAATATGAACTTTTTTTAATCGCTTGTTAGGTCCAAACAAGTGAAGCTGTGTAAACCACTGCACTTTTGAACAAAAACTTTTATACAGATATTCCTGACCATGAAGCCCTTGGCCCCAATCCATACCTTCGGTTGTGGGGGAGAAGGAGATGCCCTCCCTCTCGTGAAGTGGCAGAGCGCTGAGTCGAGGGATGTCGTCTGGAACCATCGCGCGTGGCTGCCCCAAAGCCACAGCAGCTGCTCGGCACACGTGCTTGATCCTTGGACCAGCCAGGGGTTGCTCCTACAAAAGAAAAAACAATATTTGTATTTGTTTATTTCCTCTCAACACTTCTATGGGATTGTTATAATTATCGAAATGTCCATGTCTTTTTTTATACTTTTTTTCCTCCTTAAGTTCACTTCTCACTAGGCTTGTCATGATGAAATACCATGTTTCAGCTTTCATATACTGAAGCTGATAATTTATTTTGGGGCTCAGTATTTATCACATCGAAAACAATTTCTTTACAGCAGTGGGGACATTTTTTTTATATTTTTATGTAATACAATTAGATTTGAGCTGTAGAGGGTTGAATAAGTAAGTAATTTTTGGTTAATTCTGCCCTTTAATTATTGAAGATAATGCCTTTTTAATGATATACTATATTTAAAAGTCTGTTTACTGGCATTATCCTGTGTCCTGTCATTGGCATAAAGTAGTCTCAATATTATAGTTTATAGTATTTTTTTGTAGCAATATATCGTGCTTCAAAAACTGTTACAGTGACAGGCCTATTTCTCACTGTAACTGATTAAATCCACCCATCAGTTACTTAAGAGCATTACGGAGGCTAAATAAGAGGTGTGGGTGGGAAAAGTGTCTTCTGTTTAAGCACAGAACTACATAAAACAGAAATGGTGAATCACAACTTTCAGTTTTTACCCCTATTTTAAACTAAAATCATAATTTACCTGTGGTCCATATTCTTTAGAGTGGAGGCCATGTTTTCTTCTCCGCCTTCTTCCCCCGGCTGCCATCAGTGACTCCTTCAAAGTACCAAAACAAACCATTTAACATCATTGCAATTGTAATTGTATTTATAAATTATCTTTTTACTCTGTTTTATCTATTTAATACTATCTCACCTGTGTTATTTTGAGCTGCTTCTGTTGGTCGATTTTGATGAGTTGGACTTTGGCTTTTCGGAGCATCCTCTGGAGCATCCTCTTGTTGGCGCCACTGAGTCCGAATCTATGGCCCGCTCCACTCACCTCCGCCCCCTCTATGGTGTGGGCCACTGTAACCTCACCTGAACAAGATACAAGATATTAGCATAAATAAAATAAAATAAATTGTCAAAATTCTTAATAAACCTTTTTTTTTATATATAATTAGAGTAAAAGGATGAGGTGTATTTCATTTTAGAATCTGACAAAACTGATTGAACTTGAAGCCACATTTATTATATCAAATACCTTCCTGTAAATGGTATACTCCACAATATCTAGTGTACTACGGATTATTATCGTTGACAAATTTTAAAAGTAATTTCACATTCTTAAACCCATTTTTGGTGACTGTTTAGGGCTTGACATTAAGAATTTTCAAGTAAATGAAAGAGTGAACGGGGATATAAAACCTTTTTCTGACTAAATGAGCCAAGTTGGGAGAGAAGGGCATGTAGTCATACTTTTCCTACATCTCTGGAACCGAAAACACCCAAACTTAAACACTACCAGGCAGAAGTTTGAACTACTTCTTAGACACATATTGAAGTCATAAAATATGTGAAGCAAGGTGTATGGTCTCAGCAAAGAATAAAAATGTTAAATATGTGTTATATTTTAGACTGACTCCACCATTCCACCATTCCACCATATCCACCATTTTGTGCAAATTTATAAGTGAAGGAAGGCCCTCTCAACCCTCAGCTGGGACCTGAGAAATAAGACTACAGTCACTTTGCGCACTCTCTGTACAACATATTCCGGTCCATGACGAGTGGAGTAGTGAGGCGGTTCAGTTACAAATGGAGTAGTGAGGCGGTTCAATTACGATCCACGCCATGCTTCAATGGTACAAGCCCCACTCACAGGGCACATGGGGCACGTAGAGAAACCCCGGTCGTGAACCAATATATGTTATTCCCAAAAGCACAAAGCGGCAAAAGTGGTGTGGCATCTTCATTTTTTATTCCCCATTTAGACAAGAGTTTTCGGGAGGAAATCTGTGTGCATACGGTGACGCAAAAGTGTGTAGAATCTGAATGTGTATGCATGCCAGGAGGCTAGGTGGTGATGTATGTGACGTAAATGCGTACGCGACGTGAGCAGATTTGACCAGAGTTTTGCGTCTTGGGCAGTGCAGACAGAAACGCTATGGATTAGCGTATTAAACTTTTCCACTCTGGAGGGTGGTTTCAGATTTTTGTGTTTTAAAGCCCCCAAAACGCTGTCAGTGTCTAAACGAAAGCCACTTCCCATAAAATATTTTGTTCTTTTTATCCACAAGCGTTCTCGTGTAAACAGGCCCTATAATAAAATGCTTCTGTAGTTGGTTACTGAGATTGTAACAAGTAGGGCTAATTCACATATTGTCACATTTCAATTTGGTGATAGGCAACATAATATTACCGCATTACTAGATGTAATTAACGGTTCTGGCTGGGATAAACATGGATTTACACTTTATACTGGGTGGATTATTCAATTACAAGTGTTTTTATTGACCAGATCTGTCTTGACAGAGCAAAAACATCTCCATGGAGACAAAGAGGTGGCGTACCCTCCACCAGAAAAGTTAAATGGTGCACCTTAACATAAAATGAAACTGAATACTAGCGATTACCAACATTGCTCAATTCTAATAAACAAAAATGAATGTTAAAATAATAATTACCTTCCATGACAGGTACTTCTTCTTTAACCATCAGGTCAGTGGTGGCCACTCCCACACTCGCATCGACAGACACAGCCAGTTTCCTTATGGCTCCAGGACTGTCTATCTCCTCCATTTTAATCTTGGACCTTCTCTTCCTTTTCTTTTTAGCCGAATCCTCACCATCCGCTAAAGATTCCCCCTCAGTTTCAGACACACCTTTCTTTCTTTCAGCCAGTTGTGATGTCAACTTTTTCAGATTTTTGTAGATGTCCTGACTGCTTCCCGTACTTTGTTTAGTTGGCGATTTCACGTGAGAAAATGGACTCTCCAATCCAGACTGTGAATCGCTGACTTCTGTCATAACATTTTCCTCGAATCCTAATTTAGCCTCAACTCTGTAAGTCCTCTTTCGTGTTGGCGTTATATCCTCTTCCAAAAACCTTTTAGGGATTTTGATAACGCGTGAAGACCTACCACTTGCAGTCAGAGGTGTTGAATTGTTAGAGCTAGCTTCAGCCTGTCCTGGGGTGAGCTGTGGTGTGCTATCCGTTTTAACGGGCACCAGTTCATATGTAAAAAACTTGTTTTTCTGACGTGGCCGACGCTCTCCTGGGACACTTGCTGCTTTCTGGACATGTTTTGAGGGTCTCGAAATCATTTTGGATCTGGACTTCTTTCGTTTTAACAAAGCCAAATGATGAGGTGCTTTCACTTCCTTCTCTTCTCCCTCATATTTATCATCTTCTGCACCTGAGTCTTTACCCCCTCTTCTCCCCTTTTGTTTGTGAATAGGCAAAACTCCTCGCTTTCTGGCATCAGGGCTCTGCTGCTCTGTCTCTGTCTCAGTCTCAGTCTCCTCATCTGTCGTTTCATCACTTTCCTCAAACTTGGAATCTCGGTCTTTATGCCTCACACCTGGGACTGTTTTTGATTTCCTTCCAGTTGAGGTAATAGCTGTTTGGTTTTGCATGTTACCGGGGCTTCTGATGGATGCTGCTGACGTTGCACTGTTACCTGAGTCCAATCCAACTGGCTGTTTGACCATCTCTGTACCACTGTCTTTACGTGACCTGGGCACAATTTTACCAACAACAGCAGGTTTGGCCGTTTTCTGTACAATTTTTCCAAGAAGAGGTTTTGATCCTGGAGACATGTCTGCAGGTTGTGGAGACTGTGACTGGCCCAAAGGTGAATGGGGCAAAGTTGTGGTACCAAATCCAGTGAAATCGTCCTCCTACAAAAAACAAAAACGTGACAAAATTATAGTTAATAGTTTGTAAATAAATACATTCCAAATTTCGGAATGGAGAATCTGGGTAGGGATGTAACAATATACAAATCTCTCTGTAAGATATTTTCACAATAGGCATCTCACAGTACAGTATTTATTGTGATATTTTGTAGATGCTAACAAAATTCTCAATATATAACATATATTTTGTTTTGTCAAAATCCAAACAATTAAGATTAAAATTTGCTTATAACAGTTATTTCTTCATGTATTCAGCACTGAAATGGAGCAAAGGATCATGGGCAATGTACTTCCCTTTTTAGCTATAATGCTGCACTATAAATAGACTACCTTTTTAGAGGAGAACAAAAACCATTAGTATTCAAATGAATATGTTGAAAATGATGAAAAAGTTTTACAATCTACTTTTTTTTTCAATCTATTTTTCCTGTAAACGCCTCAATTCTGGAGTTTTAAACATTTGCATAACAACATTTGCAGGGTCTATACACTCACTAAGCAAAAGCAACTTAGATAGTAATTAGCTGTAAAACCAGAACAATTTAGTAGTAACTCACACCTTGCACTTTAGGACTAAAAAGTCTAAGAACCCTTAAGCTTGTACAGAAATGTCTATAGTATGGTTATAGTACACTTCACATAGATTAATAACTTTTCAATAGGCCTGTCACAATAGTTACTATTAGGGCCCGACCGATATGGATTTTGATGTGGCCGATATGATACTGACATAATGGAAATTGAAGCTGCCAATAGCCGATATAATCGCCGATATATTTAGTGATGTAAAAATACACTGTAAATCTTGAATTGTTTAAAAAACTTAGGTTTGGCTCTGGTGGATTTTAAATTTGGTTTATTTAGGCAACATTTATTGTTATTCTGCTTCTTTATGTCATATTTACAGATAGTAGGTCGGCCTAATGGCATTTTTGCATCACATTCTAGCTACTAGTGATGGGTATTCCAGTTCTTTTTAGAGAATCGGCTCTTTTGGTTCGGCTCACTAAAAGCAGCTGGCTCTTTCGGCTCCCAAGCGGCTCTTTCGGCTCCCAAGCGGCTCTTTCGGCTCCCAAGCGGCTCTTTCGGCTCCCAAGCGGCTCTTTCGGCTCCCAAGCGGCTCTTCAGATTGTTTTGTTGCAAGCAGGACTAAACCAGGACTGGACCAGGACTGGACCAGGACTGGACCAGGACTGGACCAGGACTGGACCAGGACTGGACCATGTGCAAAACAGGAAACAGGACTAAAACAGAACTGAACCAGGACTGACTCAGTCTCCATCTCTCTCCCTCTCAAGATTAGTCCTGGTTTATTTATTTTATGCTGAACTACAGCCAAATATCCACGTTTTTCTATCCTATGCACACGCATATTTCTGAAAGTTTTGTTTTCAGCCCCTGCCCGCTGTCAAACTATCATGAGTCTGCATGCAGCGTGAAGAGAAAAAGTGAGAGAAAGAGAAAACACGGCTCCCAATAAGGAGCAGGCTCCCGTCGTTCGCTTCTAAGAGCCGTTTCGTTCGTGACCAACCCATCACTTCTAGCTAGTAAAGAAACTACCACTATTAGCCTTTAGCCGTAAATGCGTGCACGCCGCGGTAATTAATTATATGCGCAAATTTCATCATTCACACCTCTATTCACAGCTCATTTACATATCAATGCTGGTCCAGTAACATATACGGCCAATATAGTCACTTTACAATAGGCCAATAGAAGCGAAAACAGCCTGTTTATGTGTGGGAGCTACAGCAGCTAATCATTAACCAAAAACAAATAACCAAAACTAGCTTCAAAGTCGACATATTTCCAACACTCACCGCTCACACAGGCTCCTCCTCACATCACAAGTCTCCACTAATAATTGTCCTTTTGTCCGATTGTCCGTAAAAAGAATATAATCTCAGTGTTTGGATCTGTGTCTGCGGGTGTAAAAAGGAGCACGTGAGTGATGTGACTCTGGGGGTGTGTTCAGGGACAGTACAGACACACGCAGACAAATGACTCCGCAGATGCGGAGCCACATATTAGGACATTTATCTGTCTGTAAATTGGATTAAATGAACATAATGTAGAGAGTCAACGTTTTATAACGAGGTATAACATGCCCACGTGAAATATCAGCCCATATCAGCAAACTGATGTTTCCAGCGCTCATATCGGCCAATAATATCGGCCAACCGATATATCGGTCAGGCTCTAATTACTATATCGACTTATCATTCAATACAGGAAAATTGGGTCTTTATTTATTGTGTGTACATATTCTTCGCATTACTGGGACATTTTTTATTATTTTTTGGCTATATGATAAGACTTAAGATGAGAAAGGTTGAATTAATTACTTCTTTGACTCACTAAAGATGCAAACTCAGCACTTAAGTGTTTCATTCTGAGGTTTATTTATTGCAGTTAATACTTTTTTTTTTAAAACAATGTTGTAAATTTAGAATAGTTTTGGGGTTTTTTCAGTCTGCTCTTGGATTTTAGTGTCAGTGATAATTTAGTTTCAATATTATCGTTTATAGTCTATTTTCTTAAGCAATATATTGAACGTCAAAATTAATTGTATCTGTTTTTTCTGTTAATTGGCCAAGATTATGGATTCAGGATTGTTGTAAATTGGCATCAAAACATGATACAGGCAGTAGGCTCAATGGTGCGTGGGCTGAATAATTTCACTTTGGTAATCACTGATCGAAATACATGTAAAATTCACTTTCATTAACTTTGATTGAAAAGTACAAACCAGAGCATTTTTTCAGTCATAAACAATATTATAGGCTACAATTTGCCTCCAGTTTCTCTGACAATGAAAGGGTTACAGGTCTTTATTTGATTATCGCTGATTGACTGCCCCAGCTCTGCCTCAGCTCTGGCCCAGCTCTTACTATAATGTTGCATCAGGACTGTTCAGTTTCAATGCACTAGACTAGTCCCATCAGTAAAATCTTCATTCAGCATATTTGCCCTGTCTGCTTATATACTGTATAGGTATAAGCCTATCCAAAGGAATATGTTAAATGACGCCCAACTAAAAAAAAAGTATTAGATTTGTATTTGGTATTATGTAATTAATATCCATTAACTAAAAGTTAAATAATTTCTATAGTAGGGATTCACAATAACTACATTTAAAAGGTGCATTGTGTAACTTTTCTGGTGGAGGGTCCATCATCTGCTTGTTTCTATGGATATGTCATTTCTCTGCCTGTATGCCACAGTATGACATTGAAGAGCTTTACCTTACATTTTTTAATTACAGGTGGTTTTATAGCTCAAAAAACAGGCATTCTGACAGTGAGTGGGGTTGCCTTTCCACATATGCAACCCTGTAACATGGTCCGGGTTGGTCTCCATGAAGATATAAAGGTTTAATGCCATACTGTGAAACATTCCAGACAAACCAATAACTTTTTCATGTAGAAAAGCATTTGATGAACCTGCCACCAGAAAAGTTACACAATGCACCTTAAAGCTAAAATGAGCATAAAGTATGAACATGAACAAAATCAGGTCTAAATCATAATGAGCTCAGATCTAAAAGACAACTCCAAAACTAAGGTATAACTGTATTAAACTCAGTTTAGAGCAGAAAATACCGTCCGCATCTATCCATACTGTCACTTACATCAGAGTTTTAGAAAAGACCTCCCTCAAAACACAATGGAAGACACAATAGTTACAAGTATTGTTACTTACATCAGTCCAGGTCAATAAAGAAATGGAATAAGACTGAATTAAGTTTTCTCAAATGAAATAACCCGAGCTCTGCAGAACGTTTGCAGAACGTTTACAGGACGTTTCTGCAGCTTTAGCATGAACCATGTGACTCTTACAGCCCCCTCTGAAAGGATTGCATCAGTGATGACCAGTTGATGTCAAAAGTTAAAGCACTGCATGAGATAGTTCTACAATAAAATATAATCTATATAATCATGAAATAGAATACATCAACCAGTGCATTAAGCAATGACCTGCAATAAACGTCTTAAGACTAGAGACATATCTATTATTATGTTACATATAATTGAGACTCAGTGACTTTAAACATTTAGCAAATAGTTGTGAAGGTATACTACACATAATAAAAGTAAAAGAAAGAAGATTATTATTACATTCAAGGCAGTCAATTTAGATTCCTATGCAATAGATAACTTATTTAAAACCATATTTAAGAAAACTAATTTGTACAGTAATGATGAAAGTCAGCATCACTTGTGTAAACGCTCCTGCATCCAAACAGCGCGGTCAGCTGACAGCTCCAACGTGGAAAGAGTGAAGCGAGCATCTGTGACGCTCTGGCAACGTTAATACGCGCAGCCATGTCTCCACAAAGCCAACTCCAACCGCCTGAAAACATCACTGTCTCACCAAACAATAAGAGATACGGATTAAGGGTTTCTACAACAACAAGGGACCACGGAATGCCTCTACCGCCAAAGTTTCCGCCTCCAGTTCCTGCCAAACAAAGTCAGCTGGGGTGTTGTGCTTCAGCGCTACACCAACAAAAACACACACCAATAAATCTCACGACACGAGGCTAAAATGTTGCCCTGGCTGCTGCTAACCCATGAAAAGCGTGCATCAGTCTGCAAACATCGTATTTAGAGTCGGTGCTGAGGGCTAATCGGCTGGAGTTAGCACAGAGCACATAACTTGCAGCAGTGTGTTTCAATAAGCAGTGTTTTGTGTCGGAGGTGCATTTAAATACCAAATGAGCAGCCAAACAGCAGCCGTCGACGAAAAATATTTACCCCTTCACTGTTGCTGGAGATGAAGCCTGCATCTTTCTGCCGTCCGTGCTTCTCGGTGACCCCGAGCAGGCGCAGGAGGCACGGATCCTCGCTAAACGCCAGCCCGATGTTTACGGGCCTCGGCCCGGCCACAGCCTGCTCCCCGTCGTCTGAGCCCAGCCGTCCGCGTTTGGTGCGTTTCTCCGCCCGCAGCCTGCTGCGAGCCGTGCCAGGCCGCCCCGGGAAGCGAGCCTTGGCCATAGTCTGGATGTTCAGACCCGCTACATTAGCGGGGGGAGAGAGCCCACCTCCCGATGCCGCCATTATTTACTACAACAACAGCACCGCGCTGGAGGAGGCAGCTACAGCGCTCACGAGCGAGAAGCAAGATGGACTGCTCCGAGCAAAGGCGCGAGATGAGCCGCGCTGCACCATGGGTAATCTCCCCCTGCACGTCCCTCTACGTCCTCTGTGCGGCGCTGCGTACCCAGGGTGTCCGGTGCCCGGTGCCCGGTGCCCACCCATGTGCCCACCAGAGGCAGAGTCCTTAACCAGAGGCAGAGTCATGGATCTGTTAGGCAGAGTCCTTAACCAGAGGCAGAGTCCCACCATGGATCTATTAAAATAACACCAGAGGCCAACAGTCTGCGACTTTCACTGGGCCTTGGGGACTCAAATATGTAGACTGTGCACTGGAAACGATCGCGCTAGAAAGATAAAGTGGATTGAAATATAAACTTTGTAAATAAAATGCACTATAGTGTATAAAATATTTGTAGTTTTTGAGCCACTCCTCGACGAATGAGGGATTAGTTTTGTTTCCCATACCGATAATGTAAAAACAGATGCAATTTCAAACCAAAAAGATTATAATTTTTTCTTTATTTTTCTATTTTCAGTTGTACAGCGCACTCCAGAAAACATAATAGCAACGGAATTTCAAATATTTAATGCTTAGCTATTACAATTTAAAACACACACATACATACTGAAGTGACTGGATGGATCATGGCACAATTTATCTCTGTGTTCTTACGTTTATTGCAAAATTGTATTAAATGAGAGACTAGATTTTTAAGAGTCAAAATGAATAAATTAATGAGAAAAAAAGAAGCATTGAGAAAAGCATGGTGATGCAAGCTTCTCAATATACAGCAATACTGAAATGTACAAGTTTATTATTTTGAATATTTTCAGCAATATGTCCTTTGCAAAACACACTATTTTTTGTATGCATTATTCACCACATGTATAACAGAATATTACATTATACATGATCCAAACTGTCTAGCAAATCTACAAATTTTTCAGTTTTGCCCTTAAAATATGACTTATTTTAATAATTTCAACAGAAAACACCACACATTGACAGAGGGTACATACATTTGCTACTTTGAAATTAAGACTGTTCTTCAAATGAACATAAATATGAGCAATGAATATGAAATTACTTTGTGTAAAAAATAACACTATTGTATACAGAGCCTATGGTGACGCCAGTTCTGAAGTCATAGCTGTAACTGTGGGCCTTGGGCGGGTACATCCTGGGCATTGACTAGTTTTAAACAGTCACTCTCACATTCATTGACTATGGAAAATTTTGAGTCACCAGCTCACCTATACACATTTCGAAGTTGTAGAGTTGCAAGGGAAGGGCATGCAAAAATGCTTAACAATGGACACTTCTTAAAGTTCCTATTTTACACAATGTTGACTGTTGTGAACTTCAGGTCATGTTAGAATGTTACCTCAGACGCATACTTGGAATTGTGTTGTGTTTCATTTACACGTTTGACAAACCCTTTATTATTAGTCTGTCTACATTTCCAAAGCTTAAATACTCTGTTCCACCTTGTGATGTCACGTAGTGGTGGTAGTTTACTACCTTTAACCTTTAGTTCAGTAGAGCTTGGCAGTTCAGGGCTGAAATCATCCAAATGTTTAAGAACACATTGAAGCACTTCCTGCATTACCACATGACATCACAAGGTGTGTTTTCTGTTTGTGAGGAGCCTAAATATGCAAGGTCTCTGTGTGAATGAAACAAAACACAACTCCAAGTTTGTTTCTGAGGAGGAAACAACATTAAAACATAGATCAGAAAATAGAGTAATATGGGCCCTTTACATATACCATGTGTATCATTGTATATAAATGAAATGGTTGTAGTAAGTGTTTATACATTTTCCGCATTAAATTCAGGCTCTTCTTTTTTACAGTGGGTACTCATGTGGTCAATGAGGTCATTTGTGTCTGGAAAGCCCTCTCCACAGGTGGGGCAGGTGTACTCCTCAGAGGAGTGGTCTTTTGCCATGTGTTCGGTGAGCTGGTGGGCTTCATTAAAACTCTGTGCACATTCGGAGCATGCATGGGGTTTACGGGACGGTCTGCTGTGCTGCTCCTTTTTGTGGGCCCTCAAGGCATCAACAGAAGGGAAAACGAGGTCGCAATTTGCTTCGGGACATGGGATCTCCAGCTCTACTTGCTCCTTTTTGATTGAGCGTACATCCTCCACAACATTATTACTAGACCTATATTCAATCGTGTCTTTTTTAGTTACAGATTCCTTTTCACCTTTGGGTTTGCGACCTCGTTTTTTGGGAGGTGGTTTTGGTTCAGATATTGTACAGTCTATATCTCTTTCCTGGTGGTCAATAAGCTCATCTTCATTTTGGAAAATACAGTCACATTTGGGGCACTTGTGGGTCAAATCCTCTTCTATCGGAGAGCCAACTCGTGAAGAATGCACTTTAAGTCTGTGTTGATTCAGTCGGGATGGGTTTGGAAACTTGAGTCCACAGTCTTTGCAGGGGCACTGCCGCTTTCCACAATCCCACCTCCTGTGTTTTGTCACCTATTAAAAAAAAAAAAAAAAAAAAAAAAAAAGTGCATTTATATGTGCAAAATGTTATATGATCCTAATAACATAATATATTTTATTAGGCACCTTTCTGGGCTATCATAGTCATCTTACAACAATTTAAGACAAGAACATATAAAGTAAAAACATACAGTTAAAATGGGACAGATGTAAAACAATTAATTATCTACATAATTTATTGGATACAAAGAAATATACTGATGGAAAACTTTCAGGGAATGTTTTCATACACCAGCAAATGATACTTAACCCATAACAGCATTTAAAGATGCACTATGTAACTTTTTGGTTGGAGGTGTGTCACCTGCTTTTTTCTATGGAAATGTCATTGTTCTCCTTGGAATGTTCCAGAGTATGACATTAAACAGCTCTACCTTATATTTATTACTGGCAGTTTTATAGCTCAAAAAAAACGAGAAAAACATACATTCTGACAGTGAGTGGTGTCGCCTCTCCACAGATCTGACCTGCAACTTGGTCTGGTTAGGTCTCCGTGACGATTTAATTTTAATTTAAAAATTTAATACTATACTGTGAAACATTCCAGAAAAAACTCCATAGAGAAAAATATTTGACAGACTCTCCACCAGAAAAGTTACACAATGCACTTCTAAAGAAAGCAAGTTACCTCTGTAAAAGTGTAGAAAGTTGCCCTACAGTACGGGCACTGAAAACTTTTCTCATTGTTGTCGTGGGTGGTCGAGTGTTCACTGAGCTCCTCAGACGTGCTATAAATTTTGTCACATTTGTAGCAGGAGAATTTTGTTTCAGTCTGTAAGATACAAGCTTTTAATTAGAGAAAAACAGAAGAACAGTGACAAATGTAAGATATAAGATTTAAGTTTTCTTTTACCAATTGTAGTTGTTGCTTATAGATGTCTCCATGAGTTTTCTTCATGTGTCTTGCTTTTGACTTTGGGTCACGAAAGGTAATGAAGCACAGAAAGCATTGAAGATTCTCCACTTTATCTGTACCACATGATAAATATCAATATACACTTATTCATTAGAGATGGCTTTACATACATTAAATACATTATTTTCTGAATTATGTTATAATGTTGTTTCCTGATTAAAAACATACCTGGAGTTGTGTTTTGTTTCATTCACATACTGTGTTTACCATCCAAACCCTGCACATTTAAGTTCTTCTCTCACACAAAAAAACACTTCAACCTTGTGATGTCATGTGGTAATTTAGAAAGTGCTTGAATCATCTGGATGTCAACCCTCATATTTCCAAACTCTGCTCAACAAAAGGTAAACGGTAGCTGTTAAAACTAACACTTCATGACACCACAAGGTTGAACGGAGCATTTTAAGCTTTGGAGATGTACACAGACCAATAATAAATGATTACTCAAACATGTGTGAATGAAACAATACACAACTCCAAGTATGTTTTTGTTTTTTGATGAGATAACAACATTATAACATGGCTTAAAGCTCGCAAGAGTCTATTAAGAGTATTATTATCTTACACTCCGAAAGGTTGTCATATTTCAACTCCATGGTTGGCAAGACACCAGTGGCCACAGACGTCTGCAATATAAAACATACACAATAATAATGTATGACATAATAATGTATGTCATACTGGCATTGCATACCGGTATATAGCGGTGTATTTGATGATAATGCGAAACCATATGGGGGAGTAATATAGGGGAGCACTTGTCAGGTAAATGGTTTTCGAGGATAAGCTGCATGCGAAACAACAAGGACCCCAGTAAAAGGAGTGATATAGACATACAAACTTAAATGCATGATGTAATGTGCAATGATAGACGACTTTGAGAAAGAACAAAAACAGCGCAATGAATGTGGATGCAAGAAATTGTCAGTGGTCGCCTCCATCATCCAACTTCAACGATAATGCTCAGCTTTGTATGGGCGTAGTTAAAATCTTAGGGGCTTATATGGTGATTTATACATGAGGAAGTATTGTGTTTGCACAAAGAAATTTCTAAACAGGTATTTTAATGTTGTATTTCTTACCGTCGGCGCAGTCCGCTTGTCAGGAGGGTGATGTCTGCGGAGATCACGTGACCGATGAAAATCTCACAATTTAACGCGAGAACATTGAAAAAATTAACACATACTTACATCATGGATCTTACATATATGATTATGGTCTTGAGGTAGCATTCTAAATATAAACAAGCATTGAGTTGATTTTATTCACATTTTCTTACAAGTGAACTACTTTGAAATGCACTAAAAGACAAGAAATCATATTAAATCATTCACAACAGTCCATGTGATAAATACATGAAATAAACAAACAAAATGTATAATCTGTACATAAATCTTTATTGTTATTCTGAGAAGGGGCAGACACATCCAGTCAGAGGTGATGTGAGAGAGTTCTTGTATTTAAATAGTTGACAGCAATAAGCACAGGTTAAAGAGCGAGATTGAACAAACGAGTGAAACCATTATGCTCGGGCCTGCTTCTTCTGCTGGAATTCAGCAATACGGCTTTCCATAACAGGCCTTAAATGTCTGATCAATCCCTGAAAAAAAAGCACATTTATTATTTACAAACATCTATACTTTTTCTTTCAAATTAAAGCTTAAACCAAAATTGAGATTTTATTGTGGGGTGAGCAAGTAATAAACTATTTTATCAATAAACTAACAATTAAATCTCGCTCAATTTCTGAAAGTAAAAATGTCAAATACTTTAATTGAATTTACCTGCACAGGCCAAGCAGCACCATCTCCCAGAGCACAGATAGTGTGGCCTTCAATCTGTTTACTCAGTTCCCAAATCATATCAATCTCTGAAGACTGAGCATCACCGCGCACAAAACGCCACATCATTTTATTCATCCAGTCCACCCCTGAAACAAAATAAAACAGTTTATTAAAACGTGCTTAAATAATTACACAGTTATACATTGCATAGTTAAGTCTGACGTATTATGGCAGCTTTTTTTCTCAGTACCTTCTCTGCATGGAGTGCACTGGCCACAGCTCTCATGTTTATAGAACTCAATCAAGCGGGCAATAGCTCTGATTACATCAGTCTGTGAGAAAATTAATCCACACATATAAACAAAGTGTCATTTTATACATCATAATTTGAAATGCAATAATTCTTGTGTAATACAAACATACAGATTTGTCCATAACAATGAGAGCCGCAGTCCCCAGACCAGTCTGAGCTTGAATGAGGCCATCAAAGTCCATCAGGACCTCAGAACACACATCTTTGGGGATGAGGGGGGTGGAGGAGCCGCCCGGGATTACAGCCAGCAGGTTATCCCAACCACCACGAACTCCACCTACCGAACAGATGTTTATTTCAATCAAGTCACAGAAAAAAAATGCTTTAAATTTGTCCCTGCTTAGCCTGAGCTGCCTTAATCTGTCTGCGTGCATCTTAATGGGGGGCAAATGCATATAAAAATAACCTGACAAATACTTTAAACTTGTACTAAAAATACTGCCCAAGATCCAGATTTAAAGTGCATATGAAATCAAAGGTGCACCATGGCTAGGCTTCTGCAACCAAAGTGATACAAGAGCATCTGAAAAATTGCCCCAAATCCCATAGAATTTAAATCCAGGGAGTTGGATTTTAATAAATTCAATTTCATATTTATTGTGAATTACTTGTTGCTAGCTCAATATAAATAAAGCTATACATGAATCATGAAAATAAAGAATAATAAAAATAAAAATATGTATGTATAATGATTTATGTCTTTCAGTAAAAGACAAAAGACTGTTAATACAACAAGGAAACACACATCTACACTTAATTACTTCTGGTAATGTGAGATTCAGGTAAGGATTATATATTTAACCACTGTTACCAGGAACTCCAGGATAAATGCACAGTATCAGTATCAACGTAATCAAAGAAAAAGGTGACGATGAATGCTATGTAGAACAACATTCTGGAATACCGTCTACCTGCTATTGTTTAAATCATAATTCAGCAAATTAATGTTCAACCAGTTTATACATTTACTTGAATAAAACATTTTACACCATCAATACTAAATATTTGGCATTATGCACCTGCATGCCTCTCAATGAGCTCCTTCATGGGGATGGACATCTCCTCCTCCACAGTGCAGGGGGTGTTAACATGGCCCGAGATGTTGAAGAGTTTGGTGCCAGAGTTCCTCTCTCTGCCAAAGCTCGCAAACCATGTTCCTCCACGACGGCAGATAGTGGGAGCCACAGATACAGTCTCCACATTGGCAACAGTTGTTGGGCAACCAAAAACACCTGTGAGAAAGACGTGGCAGTATTTATAATATAAATAAGTCATGTGATATTGGATTTTCAAAGACTTGAATCTTTTTCAAGTTAAGACTGTTATTGTGTCCCTGGGCAAGGCACTTTGCCACTACACCCATCATTGAGGGATTTAGGAGGGACCATATGTGTGAAATGACAGCTATGCTTAAAAAATCTTAACATGCACTAAAATGACAATTGCTTGGGACATGTGAGCCATAATAAATAACAAAAATTACAAAAATAATACAGAAAAAGCAACTGTAAAATTGTTTCCATTTTAAAACTCACCAACATCAGCAGGAAATGGGGGCTTGAGACGAGGTTTGCCTTGTTTCCCCTCTATGGATTCAATAAGAGCGGTCTCCTCTCCACAGATGTAGGCTCCAGCACCACGCATCACATAGACATCAAAATCATACCCAGAGCCACAGGCATTTCGTCCAATCAGACCAGCAGTATAGGCCTCATTGATTGCAACCTACATATATGGCATACACATGATGATTATAAACAGGATAGATTTATGACCTTTACAATATTAGAGATGAGACAAGCATACTGGCAGCAAAGTACATTTTTGTTTATGTATTTCAAGGTAGTTAATAATTTTCTTGTTAAAATGTGTTCCAGTAGAATTAGATTGGTATTTGGTAATATTAAGTTAACTTTGAAAACCAAAAAGACTCCAGTAGCTTGAAGACAAATTTGCATTATGGTTTGAAGTTATACTGTACCTGCAGGTTGGACGACTCATTGTAGAACTCTCCTCTGATGTAGATGTAGGCGGCGCGAGCTCCCATGGCTCTTCCAGCAACAAGACAGCCCTCCACCAGCTTGTGTGGGTCGTGCCTCATGATCTCTCTGTCTTTGCATGTTCCTGGCTCTCCCTCATCAGCATTCACCACCAGATACTTAGGCCTGAATAAATGAATGAAGACAAAACAATCCAATGAATAGCATTAAGAAGATTCAAATGTCCAGGCAGTGATTTTATTAGGAGTACTGTTACACGCCCTAACTCACCGGCCGTCACTGGGTTTGTTCATAAAGCTCCATTTCATGCCCGTCGGGAAGCCAGCCCCACCTCTGCCACGAAGGCCAGAAACCTTGATTTCATTTATAATCCAGTCAACTCCTTTAAGAAGAATCTCTTTAGTCTTGTACCAATCTCCACGCTTCAGGGCGCCTTTGAGCCTGAAAGACAAATAGCAATGTAAAAAACACAGTAAGTAGTATTTTCGAAAAACAGCCAGCACAAGCTTAAACGTGCACTATGTAACTTTTCTACTCATTTCCATGGAGATATTATTGTTTTGCCAAGAATGTTTCAATTCCAATTATCTATAAAGGAAACAACCCTATGACACCACTCGTCAGATCGTAAAAATGCATCCAAGATATTTTTAAGTAGTGAAAACCTACATAACAAAATACATGCTATATATTTTTAGTATTGTGAAATTGAGGCTAAGTGCATGTCTAGAAAGACAAGCACATTCTATATAACTGTAGATCACTGAAGTCACCTCCATTCATGACGGCCATAGAGGTTTGTGAAAATACGATCTTCATCGGCCAGGGGTCCAAACTTTGTCTTCTTAGGGGGTGCCTACAAAATTAAAAAAAGAAAAACATTACATAACAGTACATGAATCTATAGACTAGAGTGATGTTATAATCAAGACATGCTATCACATAATAATTATAAAGTACCTGTGCGGTGCTGTTATACCGGACTAAAGTTGTTGCTCCAGCTTGAGAGACAGCTGCTGGGGCACGGGCAACACCACACACCACTGCCCGGGACAGGGTCAGCATGTTTCCTATTCTGTGTAAAGAGAGGCAAATGCTGGATATTAACATGTGAATAATAAATCACATATGCAACAATTTATATAGACAGATAATGTCAATAATTATGAGCACAAACTATGATAAATAATGAAAAATAAACTATTTGGGATATACTGTAGCTGCATTAAGGTCAAATGAGGATATCATTATGGCAAGAACTTATCAGTAAATCAAAAGAGCTGTGTATCGTTCAAATGTCTTATGAAGAAGTGTTGAGAAACTAGAGGCGTTACATCAGTGTAATTTGAAGCTTTGTGTTATAACAATTCCTGACATAATGCGATACGTAACGCGTTATAAAAGTTTGGCAGTACTAACGTTCATGTTGAGTTTTCACAGTATTAAATGCGTGTGTCTTCATGAACATAATATAATTGTAAACTGTTATTATTAAATGTGGAAGACAAGATGCTAAAACAGCATAAAATAAGATAAAGCTGACCTCGATGTTTACTCGGAGCGCGGCTCGGAAACTTGCTAAGCTAACAGTTAACCTTGTAAAGTCAAACCGCATATTTACTATATCAGCAGCAGCAAAATAAGTGTGCCAATCAACGTATTTGTTCTGCTTCACAATACCAACGAAATGACCCACAAAATGCATTAAAACTAATTTAAAAAGTCGACTGTTTTTACCTTCACAGCGTCCCGAGCTGAGCAGATTTTACGAAATATCAACCGGAAGCACTTCCTGTGCGGCCCGGAAAGTCTCCGATTAAACCCTCATTATATATAATTTTCTGTAATTTTGTAGAATATATCAAATTATAGCAAACTGATTGCTGCCTGTACTGTAGGTTATCATGTATGTTAAGTATGTTAAATGACAGGTGATAAATTAATAAATGTTGGAGACCCACAACCTGCTGTTGAGATAGTGTATTAAGAAATATGTATTATATTAATAATTGATATGATATGATATAATGTATTATAATGTAATATAATATAATGTAATATAATATAACAATCTGTAAAGAGCCAGTTACTGTTCCACACATCTCCCCTGGGAGACATCCAGGAGTCATGCAGAACCAACAACAAATCATCTGAGCCCTTCTGGCCCTTCTTAGTGTGGAGCAACAGTAGCTCTACTCCAAGTTTCTCCTGTGAGACTGAGCTCCACTCCCTATCTCTACGGGATCTCCCAGCAGGAGACAAATAATTTCAGTTGCAACATTACAGATTAGATATGACATACTGTATGTGTTAGACATTAGACATTAGACTTAGACTTAGACAAACTTTATTGATTCACAAAGGGAATTACTTGGAAATGACTTGGTGTTGTGTGCAGTAGTGCACCCAAAACATACAGTCAATGCTAAATATGTTATTACTCTATTATTATACTATTACTACTATTTGATTGCAAAGGATTAAATTATATTGTTTTAAATGTTGTCATGTTGATTTTTATCCTGTATTAGTACACACAGTACTAATACATGGTAGCACCTAAACTGTTTTTGTAAACACTGTATGTATTTATTTGTTGGTAAATACTTAAAAGCATAAGAAGATTACTGAATATCTATAAGTAAAACATAATCCCAGGATACTGTATTATCAGTTGTTGTGCTACTTTTAAATGGATTTTGATCAAACAGAGTGAGGCATAGTTTTTTTTCTAGCTTGTTTTATTAAAATCAAAATATGAGTGCCACATAAATGGGAATTGAAGTACAGTAAAGCCCATTTCTGTACAGTTGGAGTCATTACATCAGAGCAGCTTATCCTCTGTGAACACCAGTATTAAACCTAGAGTTGATGCAACCTGCAGAGTTAAATCAGCGCTACATAAAGCCGATATATTATCCAACTGGTGTAACCATTCACTTCCTGTATCCAATCTGTGAAAAGTGTCTGTTAAGGTCTTTTAACGTGAAGCACAAAATACACTGAGAAATTATTTTCTGCCAACAAGTCAAAATACAGATATAACATAAGAAGGGTCAATGAATTACTTATACAATTGCATGTGTTTGAAACTGAAATTGAGAAGAGGACCTCAATCATGTTTCCATAGTCAGCACTAAAGCTTTAGTCTGTTTGCAGTTTGTTTGCATTTCAGGACAAGCTTGATGAATGCCATATTTGATTGTCTGTTGTTTTGCTCCATGTCACTCTGTTGGGGCAGACTGGTTCCTGGTTTTGGCTATGACCCGTCCCAGTCGGTCCACAGCAACACTTTCGAAGGCTCGTCTCATCAGTGGATGCTCCTCCAGAACCTCATTAAAACTGTCCACGCTCAGAGAGTACAGTCTGCAGTATGTGTCCGCGCGCACACTGGCCGTGCGCCGTCCCTGTGTCAGCAGGCAGATCTCTGCATGAAATAAATACAGGATAGTAATGAGAACCTTATATTATTATATAGTATTATATAGTATTAGCACAAACAGTATTTATGTCTTTCATACTATTCTTTGTGGTTAAAATAGCTTTGTCAAACCAGCCAGAGATCAGAAAAATCACCCAGGAACTGACACAAAAACAGCAGCAGCAATGGCTGGTGTATTAAATAAACATTTGCTCAAAGGTCAAAATGATTTACCCCCAAAATACGCTCCATCATTGAGCTTAATCTCCTTAGTGCCTCGTGGCATGACTGTGACAGCACCGTGCTGGATGAAGTACATTTTCCGACCGAGCGTCCCTTCGCGGATGATGTAGTCTCCAGGCTGAAAGACCTCAAACCTGAGCTTGGTCAGGATCACGGTCACAAAGTGTGGATCTGTGTTGGCAAACAAGGGCATGTTGGCAACCAGTCCACGGCAATTATAGCTGACAATTTCCTAATGGAGAGGAAAGGGGAGAGTTTAAAATGAAATAAAAAAAAGATTTGTATGTGGTAACAATGTTCAGAAAAACACACCTCCTTCAGAGGGTCACTGAGCTCTCCGAGGATGCTGTCCTCATCAAACATTTTGCCTTGAAAGCGCTGCTCATAATAGTCATGGATTCTCTGTCTGACATCTGCTGGCAGTTTGTGAAAGGACATGTACTGCTCCACTTGTTTGTACTAAAAACAAAACATGTCATTATAGAAACACAATTTGAAAACCACATTTGGGTGAATTACTAATTTATATAATTTCCAGGCTTTGCTACATTTTAAGTAGATTAGCAAACTAATTTATGATGCGCATTAGCTAACAATCATCTGCTCCACTTGTTCGTACTAAAAACAAAACATGTAATTATAGAAACACTATTTGAACATCACATTTGTGTGAATGACTAATTTATATTATTTCCAGGCTTTGCTACATTTTAAGTAGATTAGCAAACTAATTTATGATGCCGTATTAGCTAACAATCATCGAAAAACAAAGGTACTGCCATTTGTCGATGTTTGGTTTTATCTTATGAAAATCCTCCAGTCAGGGTCACTTTCAGACCATAAAACCCATTAGATAATACACAGATTCTGGGCATTTGGCTCATTTCCACTGAAACAGCACAAGTGGGTAAGCACGCTGTGCGGCTGTGGCATTGCAATGATATTGAACCAACAAGGGACAAATTGTGCTGTCATACACAGATTACTTAAGGTCTTTGTCAGCTTATTTAGACCTGGTTAACCTCTGGCATAGACACTCTTGATTTCTTTAATTTAGTTAGGTTTAGTTGACTTTGGTTTGGACTGGTTTTTGACCTTTGTTTCTTTTAGTTTAGTTAAGTGTAGCGTGTAGACCTATTCCTGATGTATTCCTGGTTTAGTGCTAAATAAGATCTAGTTTAGTTACGGTCAAGATAGGATTTAGTTACATTTAGGTCTTGGTTTAGAATTACAGAAGTTTAGAAGTAACTCTTTGAACTAAAGGACATGTACCTTTTCCTGATACTGGCGGTGTGAGGAGTCCAGGGATTGGACCAGGTTGGTTGCGTGACCCAGGAACATGGCATAGCAGGTTGCCCCGACAACCATACTGATCATAGTGAGCCAGACGTCACTCATGCCCTCTGGGGGGTGAGCGCCATACCCGATACACAACATATGGCTCATGGCCATGAAGAGGGCGTACGAGTACTGGATATGCCATGTTGAGTTCTAGGGGAGTCAAAATCATTCTGAGATCAAGTTTTTTATTGTTCCACTACAGAAAAACAGATACATCACAAATATTATACAGAAGATAAGAGTAAAAAAGCGGAGGGAAATCAAACTTATCTATGAATGTTCAAAAGTATTGGCAAGTACTACAACAGATAAGTAAGCAAGTGGATCGCTGTATTAGTTTCCTTATTAAAAACATGTTAATGACTGTTTTTCTTCCTTCTCTGAGGAGTCTGTTTTGTCCTCATCTTGAATAACCTCTAAACAGAAAGAGGAACAAAGAAAAGAGGATATTTTCTGTTTGATGAAAAAAATCCTACTTTGGCCTTAGGAGAAGTAAATTAGTCAATTATTGGTGACAAGACCAATAGCGATACAGTCCCATCCAGTCCAGTCTAATCTAATGTTCAATCATTGGACACCCAGTTGCATGAAACCCAATGTGCGGTATAAGATGTACAATTCAAATACTATGACCAACTATGCCTTGGCTAATACTCACCACCATATTGTTCTTGGACACCCAGCAGTCCGGGGGGAAGTCCTGCAGCATAGGCACCATAAAGGTCAGGCAGCCGTCCCAGTGGCACAGCAGCAGCATCATCCCGATCAGGTTTGCGATACGCACCACGGCACTGGCCAGGTCATAGGTCATGTGGAAGATCTAATATGTCAAAGTCACATTGAGAAATAACATGAGAAAAAAAAAATACTACAATGCAATTAGGGATCAAATGTGTCCAAAGGAGAAAATATAATTATAAAGAGGATATGAAATAATTTAATTAAGAATAAAGTCATGACATTACATTGTTTTTATAAACTACAATAACATTACTAAACCCAAAGTTACTAAGTTTATTATAATTTTTGTCACTTTTCTGATGAAGCGTCTGTCACATGCTTGTCTCTGCTAAGCCTGGAATGTTCCACAGTATTGCAATAAACATATGTATCTTGCCTTTATTTAATTACTGGCAGGTTTATTGCTCAAAAATACTTAAACTGTAACTTGACCTGGTGACTTCACCTGTCTCCACAAAGATGGATAAATTTTGTGCTATACTATATATGGCATATTCCAAACAAAGTAAAACCTCCATGGCATGGAGAGAAGCAGGTCGTGGTTATATACTTGCAACTCCAATCTTTTTTTTTTTTTGATTTTGTGAATGACCATAGGCACAGACAAAAGCTAATTATGAGCAAATACTCTTTTGTCAATATAGGACCTGAAGATCGAATTATATGAGCTTTTTCATGGCCGATGTCCATACTAGTTGTTACAGAGCCACTGATGGACGATAAATATTTTGGGGCCGATATGTAAGTCAGATTTGGATTGTTTTCATCAATCTATGCAATTTTTTATTTACAACACTCTCGCCTACAGTCTGTTTTTACCACAAGCTTTCAATCTCTCAATCTCTCAATAGTCTCAATATAGGACTTAAAGGTGCATTGTGTAACTTTTCCAGTGTGAGGTCCATCAAATGCTTTTCTCCATGAAGAATTGTCTGGATTGTGTCACAGTATGGTATTTACCCTCTCTATTTTCATGGAGACCAAACCAGAACAAGTTACAGGTCAGATCTGTGGACAGAATGCCTGTTTTTCGAGATATTTTTTTTTAATGAAAGGTAGATCTGTTTAATGTCATACTGTGGAATATTCCAGGCAGAGCAATGGCATATCCATAGAAATAAGAAGGTGACAGACTCCCAACTAGAAAGACAAATGACACAAAATAGAACAACAGTTTTCTATACCTCCTCCCATTGGTGGATGTATCTAATGAGTCGTGACAGTCGAAGTAGCCGCAGAAGGCTGAGGATTTTGGTGAAGCGGACAATACGGAGGGCACGAGCAGTGCGGTACACGTCCGTCGACTCCACCAACCTTTCCAGATCCACAATCAGAAAAATATAGTCCACCGGGATCGAAGAAACAAAGTCTACCACGAACCAGGTGCGGAGGTAATGCAAGCGTATCTCTTTAGGATCCAGAATGATGTGGCTGTCCTCTCCCAAAATCCCCGTGCGAAAGTTAAAAATTAAGTCTAGCAAAAAGAGAGTGTCAGAGAGGACGTTAAATGTGATCCAAGGAGGTGTATTCTGGTCTTCAAAAAATGTGATTCCCCATGGCAATATCACCAAGTTACTCATCATTAAAATCAGCATGACAAGGTCCCAGTAAAACCTGCGAAGGAGAACAAAGACACATGATCAAATGAATACTAAAGATAATTAAATAACTTTATCAAAATAGTATGTTAAGATAAGTAAAGTCAATAATATGGGAATTGATGAAGCCTTTTACAAGAAACTAGTTACACACCAAATAGTAGGCTTTTACAATGGATGCTATTCTGGTAAGCTGTACTGCAGAAGGATACTGTATATATATCAATGTGAGTAACTTAAGATTGTGGCTATACAATACAGAAATAGCCTAAAAGTGGCATGCTGGTCCTAAAGATACAACATAATAGTTGTAAAGTGCATTAAATGAGACAGTCTGACAGTCAAGTCATCTGTCATAATCAAGACATCATTTGTACAGGTAAAGCTAATGTGTGCGTTATCCAATCCTCAGAGGAGGTTAAAGTTCTGGAGGGGATCAGTGCTCACTGATGACTCTGACTGAGGACACTCGGAAGTGTCTGACAAGGATGAAGTGTGCATTAAATATTCACTATGGGCCTTATTAATAAAGCAGGAGGATTGTGTTAATAGCTGGACTTACAACTAGCTCAAGAGAAACATACTGTACTTTTGAACATGTTTTTAATTGGATAACTGTTAGATAATTTACATTATCCAAATGTTCCATGGGATAAAACATAATCCTATTACATAATAAATGACAGACGAACATAATATTTAAACATGGTTCTTTAATCTGAGGTTATAGTGCTAATTTTTGCCTCACAGCTGGTTGCTTATTTTACTATTTGATTAATATGAATATATACTGTATACATTTACATAAATTGATGTCAGTGTCATTAGACTGTTACAGCCCATTTAATATGAGATTTTCACAAAATGTGGTGATGATAAAATTATTCTGTTGAGGACAATCTAAAGGAAAATATTCAGAGACAAAAAAGGTTTATTCATCAGAAACAGAGTTACACAGTTCCTGTGTCATTTTAATGTAATTGCTGCCCTGTTGGAATCATAGTCTTGTCTCAGCACATGGTGTGTTTGGATACTGTAGTTCAGATAGCAAATTAGTTGAATGATTTTTTTTCAATTATAAATTAGTAGCAATTAATTAAAGTCATACTTTAAACCTGACTCTTAATTGGACTGGAGAAAAGGTCTCCCTGCTTACATTTGTCTTTTTTCCAGCTCATCCCATCCTCTTCATGGCTTAATGTCGTGCTGTACTTCATGGCTACATGACTTGGGTTTCTCTCTCACTGATTGTTTCCATCAACTGTCACACACTTACAAGCTCTGCTGAGCTCTCATTTTCACTACTGTTACAGCAAAGACCAGGCTACTTTTAATTACTGACAACAGCGCTATGGCTCACAGCATGCGCCAAATACTAAGCTTTTTGTATTTAAGAAGACTTTTAAGGTACTTTTTGTGCATATTTTTTTTAGGACAAACGTAATCTCCTTCATTTTCCTTCACTTATAAAGACATATATGTGCATACTTTTTTTGTTTTTTGACCATTTAAAAACATTACCAATATAAAACTTGACCACAAAAATCTTATCACATGTTACAAGTCAAAGCATAATAGACAAAAACATTTACCATTAATGTATAACGTCCAATAGGCTCTTGTCAGAGCCCTCTGTCTCCACTCTAGTTTACAATTTCTAGTTTACATGATCAGGTTTCCAGTAGATTGCTTTTGGCTTCTTGTGGCAAATAACTGAAACAACTCAAGACTTCTTAATAGCTAATACTAACAAACTAACACATAATAATATTAATAATAATAATAAATAAAATAAGGGTTAAGCATATTATATAGTTTTTATTCACATTTATTTAAAGCTCCTAAACTTGAGAATAGATTTCGGAAACTGCCTATAACAGGTGTATTCCAAGACTGAATGAATAAAGATTGTTTGGTTAGTAAGGGCATCTGAAATCAAAATATAATAGCATTACATAGTTGACATTTAATTTAAGGTGTTTTAGTACTTAAGTCATATGTTTACATTCAGTCTTTTCCTGTTGATCACATTGTATTTTGCCATGAAATATTCAAAAGACAAATTCACAAATGTTGAGCCTGGTATTTTCATTTATTGACTGAACCCAAGAACTCACTATATTAGAACATAACTTTGAATTTTAACAATAGTATCATCATTTTAGCTGCCCCTCATCTATATTAATTAATATTGGCCTACAGAATGTTGTGTTGTGTGATGATCTGAAATCCAGCAATTCCCTTTACTACCTTATATGAAAATCACTAATATTGTCTTGTTCATTATAGGTTTACGTAATTCAATAGAGCATATAGATAATAGCCATACATTGGCCTCATCTAACCCAATCCTAAAGAAAACCTGTTTTAATAATACTACACTAAGCTAAAGAGAAGTCAGAGCATAAGGTGCAAGATGGACAGGCCTTCGTTAATCCACCCCCCCCACCCCCTCCACCCTCCGATGTCTGTTTTATTGCATAATAGAGGAAGATTAGAATTATGAGGACTTCTATCGCCAATAATCCCTGTGCACGGGTTTAGCCACAGTCTGGTTGGTGCTGAGGTTTAAAAAATGTTTTAATTCACAAACAGTGGTAACTGTATGAGAGCTTTTCTGGTGATACTTTTGTAGTTTTATTGAATTGGTGTAGTTTGGACAACTCCTGATTTCATACTAGTTTACACTCCATACAGTAGTTCTTTTTGCATAAATGTTTACTCTGAGGTAAGTACTGGTTAAGACAGCTGGGATTGAGAAATTATTTAGTCCTGGTTTTGACCCTGTTTTAAATGCACCAACCTTACCACCTTCAAGAAAAATCAAAAAATTGTATTGTTTATGTTTTTTTCTCTGTATTATTTGTGTAATGCTCTTTTGACTTTTTAAAAATATTTGTGTTGTCAAGCATTAGCCAGGCTGGCGACACCTAATGCCTACACCCAATTTCATTTCTCTCCAGTGACTAGGTCAGGAATCGGAATACAGTAGATGGTTTGCAAGAACCCCGGAAGTTGTAGACTGCACACCGGTCAATCAACGAAGAGCCATACATTCTGTTTTGGCAAAGCCGGAACAAAGAGAATGTTTGGTGAATATTATCAAGGGGAAAGACGTTATTGCCCTTCTTCCTGCGGGATTTGGGAAAAGCTTAATATACCAGTTAGCCCCGTTAGTGGCGCATTACATATGTTACGACCAAATAGCAGTGACTGATTAAATTAAAAAGTACTCGCCTACCGTCGAGCGAACAAATTCTAATGCTGTGAGGACAGAAAGTTTCCATGAAGTGAAACTGGCTGATGAATCAGGCTAGTAAACCATCTTAGTGTGTCCTGAAAAGCGCTATATAAATAAAACATTTTTAGTAGTAGTAGTTTATTCTATCATTTTACAGAACTATTAAAACTTACAACCCCATGGATCATGACTGAAAGGGTTGAGGTTGAAGTAAAGTAAACAATTCCAGGAAAGAAAAGCAGTGTATGAACAGCAGTTTGTGTTTACTATTTCACTTACAAGTATATTTAAGTGGCAAAATAAAAATAAAAAGGAACAAACAAAATTTAAAGCATAAGTCATTCATTCAAGACCTCTATAGCTTTCAAAACATAATGATTTATACCTCTTATTAAAGGCTTATACAGTGTTAGACTTTCATCAGCCATTCCGGTTGTTCCATAAATTAATCCCTCTAACAGAAATGCAAAAAGTTGAAAAAATACATGTTTTTATGTTGGCAAGTACACTATGATCTAAACATTTAGGTGCAACACAAAAAAATGCCAAACTATGTATTTATCTTTGTAAAGGCTGAGTGTTCTTAATTTATCAGTCTCTCTATCACTAATCCAGCTGATCTTGTTGAATGCTCTGTATCACTATTCAAATCTCTTCATCGCCTTATCGAGTGGGACTAAAATCATCTGCTCCAAGCCAATGCCCTTGGAAGAGATCTGTGTGTGTTGTCTCAGCCCTGTGTAATGCATGTATTTAAATAGGTATGCACAATTCAGTGCTCAGTATCGTATTTAAATATTTTATTAATTTAAAAATGCACTGTGTAACTTGTCCGGTGGGGGGGTTCTCCATGGAGATATGCCTTGAATGTTCCACAGTTTTTACCCTTAAATTTAAGAATCTCCTTGGAGACTTGCAAGCCAAATTACAGGGTAGATTTGTGGGGAGACGACTCCGCTCACAGTAAGAATTCATGTTTTTAAGAAATTTTTGTAACAATAAATTACATCTGTAGTTGAATAAATGCAAGACAGATTAGTTTAGACATACAGGTTGTGGAACTTCTCCAGAAAAATTACACAGTGCAAAATGAAAAATCACAGTGCACCCAATGTTACAAAGTGTTTTCAAACAGGAGGTATACAAGATATTCGCAGTGCATCCCCTAATTTTAGAATATTTAGTTTTATTCCGATTAGATCTGTTATCATACTTGTATCTTTTTTAGTCCTGGTTGAATATGAACTGAATATGACATCAAGTGGGAGTCTTAGTCCAATTAGGTTAATTTGGTCTTGAGTCAGACTTCCTCAGGACAGTATCCCATCGTTGCTGGATTAAAGAGGCAATCGAAATACAGAAACGTGCCCAGGGGGACTATAAACCGGGATGAGGGGGCTTTTTACTCTCACATACCTGGGATACTGTCCTGAGGAAGTCGGACTGCAGATGGTGCTGCACTGTCAGCCTGCTTGCATCGGTAGGAAGACAGCACCAAAAACTGTATAAATCAGCTGACCGGACATCACATGACCATTCTGAGGAAGACCGTGAGTGAACAGTCGAAACTGTCAAGTATGAAAACAAACTCTTGATCTGAAAAAAGAACCTAATAACATAGATGGGAGTCTTGCATAAGAGCCAAAAGAGAAACTTTTCTAACTTGTCCCACATATAGGGGTTTGAGATATAGACATACAGTATTTCAGAATTGAATGACAGGTGCTAAAAACCACCAATATGGAACTCAAGAGGCCCAGACTTCACTCAGACCAAATGTAAAAAACTAACACAAACTAACACCTAAATAATGCATTTGTAGAGCTTTAAGTGCCTGATCTCATGGGTTTTTAGCTTCTGTGTCTGTGTTTGTTTTAGAGCTGGTTTTGTCAATGTATTTATTGTTTTGTAGACCAGAATTAGCCCAAGATTGATCCTCACTGATTTAGCCTTGTTCAGACCTAGTAAAAAACTTGATTTCTCTTTCACTTTATATGTATTTATTTGCATTTTTCATCAATCTGTGTTCTCTCTCAGTACTTGAGAAGCCCAGACATTCAAAAAAAGAGACCTATTGGTATATCTGAGCTTCAGTATCTGTGAGTTTGGGCCAGTTGACAGGAATTTGGGCCCTGGGACAAGAATCCTCACATGGGCCCCCCTTAATATAAATAAATAGGAGGAGGGTCCAATTCTGGGCCCTTAAAACCCTGTCTACTGCACTGTGTGAATTACCTGAAGTCACTGTAGGGGTGAATTATCCACACTCCAAAAGACTTGACCCTCTCCTGCTCGGCTGCGACCCCTTTGTGGCTCCCAAACATACGCAGGGAGAATTTGTTAACCCCTGGCTGGAGCATGGACCCAAACTGCTTGTGGAAGTAGCCGGACTGATCTTCAACCAAAACCTCTTCAACACACCCTTCTCCATTAGTTTCGAGTAAACCATCTGGATCTGCTGTGTAGTTATCGTTGTGGGTTTTGACCAGGGTGAAAAGAGTTTTGGTCACGTCGCTGCGTTTGTCTCCTTTTGGGGAGGGGGTGGATGGTGGGCTCCTCTGGCTCCCGCTCCTCCATCTTGAGAAGCGCAGGCTGCTCCAACTGCGAAACCGGGGCGTCTCTCTGTGAGCGGGACTCTCAGCAATGCCTCTGTGTTCATCCAGGCTCTTGCAGGGGCTGGACATTTTCTACAACTTTTACTGCAAATATAGGCTTGTAATTTTGGATAACTTCTTTAAAAATTCTCAAATGTCCATCATCAAGTTAAGCGCTCATAAAATGATTAATTTACCTTACAAGATGCAGGATACAGGATTTGAAAAAAAAAAAAAAAAAAAAATCTAAAAACTAGTCTAATCTGTCATTAAATCATTATACAAAAATTCTAATAAAATAGCCTTTAAACATGATGTGATAATACAGGTTAAAAATTGCAGAAAATATAAGACAATAAAGAACAAAGAGGTGCAAACTACTCTAATCTAGACCTATTACGTAGATATACATATATATATATATATATATATATATAAAAAAATGCTTAATCTAAAATTTTGTAGAGTAGCAGCATTGGCTTTACATATATAAAAAAACACAAGCTACCAAATAAAGACTAAAAAGATCAAAAGAAAAGCCTTTTTCTAAAACTGAATTTGAATATTCCCAAAGTAGCTTGTGATAGTAAGGGATTTTTTACGCATACATAAAACAATGAATGGCTAGAAGTTACATGCTGTAGCTGTCATCCAGTTTCACCCTAGACTATATTAAACTAATAATTAAATCTAGTAGGCATGCCTATTGCCCTCATTACATCTGATCCAAATGCGTAAATGTAAGGTTGCCAAAAAGTGTTGTAAAGTTGATCCTAGTCTCTGTGAAGTGGAGAGTCCCTGTTGCGAGCCCGGTGCCTGTCGTCTGTCTGTGCACGGGAGCAGGGAAGAGCTCTCAGTAGCCAGCGGTAATCGGCTTGTGGGCATAACCGTGTCCACTCTTACCTCTCACCACCCCTCCCGTCTCTGCGCGTGTCTGTCCCATCCTGTCCAACCCCGGCGTGGATAAACGAGACGATTCGGAGCTAAGACAAGGCGGAGGTCACGGGCCACCGGGTCACAGGTCAGCAGCGATTCCCCATCCCTAAACATAATGAATAAATGATGAGAGGACAACCCCGATCAGCGGAGAACCCACGAAGGCCCTGGCAAGTTGCACTTCAGGTTTATTTGGTTAATGGCGCCAAATGCCAAACACAGGAAATCAACTCCTGCGATACAAGAGAGCAGCCAGAAATGTAATATAAGTCCATTTATCATCAACCTCTAAAACAATATTTCTCAAGTACAAATCAAATCGGACTAAAACACTACGCAAACAACATTAGGTACTTGATTCTGATATAAAAAGTCGTGATAATGATGATATTGGAAAATATGTGCAAAATCTCACAACCACATAAAGAAACAATGGGCATAATTTACAGCACACAAGTAGCAAGAAACAATTTGCACAGTTCTTGTCAAGTCCCAAGACATTGACCTTCAAGTCCAAGTCGTGTCCCAAGTCCTTGTCTATTTTATCAAATCAAGTCCCAAGTCCTAAAAATACTCAATACAGAAAAATACTGAGCCCTCTGTGACCGCTACGCTTCTGTTCTAACCATGACCAATCTTTTCTCTCTCATGTCAAGTGCGTGTCCAGTCATAGGCTAGGCTCTGCAGATCACATTTCATCAGCATTATCTTTGGGGCAGTCTGTCGCGGAGGTGGCAGGTTACAGATTCACAACAGAACTTGAGAAGCCGCTATTACTTCACTACTGGGTCAAACACAGTAATCCTGCTCTTCCCTGTGCTCCAGTGACTCTGTCTTTACGGATAGTGGGATTCTTCTGTAAGGACACGCTGTATAAACGTAAATGTAAATAAAGGAAATAAAGTCTGTCAGACGTCTTTTTTTCTTTATTGCATTTAAAAGTGTATATTAAAAATGTATATGCACAACAGCAGAAAGGAGAAAGCATGGAGTGAGTTTGCTGAAGTTTGGACACTTTAATCTTCTTGAAAAAGGCTATTTACAGAGGAAAAAAACTTTGTGCATTTGTGTTCAGGACAGATATCTGTGCTTTTCTAGCAGTTGATTAAACAAAGGTTTGATTTCTCTGCGTGTGATGGGTTGACCAATCAGCTTCTTATATTTGTGTCTTGGCTGGATGGCTTGATATATTATATACACACAGCTTCACATATTTGTGTCTTGTGGCTGGATGGCTTTCATCCAGAACCATCCCAGATTTATAAATGTGTACAACTAAATTCAGGGTGCTATGTATAATCTGGCGTCAGACTAACTTGACACATGTTTCTTTCAGGGACACTAGGCTATATATGGTCATTCACAAAAAGTGACACTGCTTTTTGTATGGAAGATCATTTATTCCATTAGATTTTGAATTTAAAATAAGATAAGATAAGATGTGCCTTTATTTATCCCACAGTGGGGAAATTCCAGTGGTGCAACGCGCAATTCAAGAACAGCTGGAAAAAAGTAACATGCAATAAAACATAATAAATAATACCGCTGAATTTCTCGCTTTGAATTTTTTTACTCTGAAAAAAATATGTTCGAATTATTTTTATTCATAATTTTAGTTGCTGAAATTTAAAATATATTTTTTCAATACGTTTTAAATTCAAAATAAAAATTTCACAAGACCCAAGACCCAGAAGCAATCGATCATGTGTGAGCGAGGAGGACAGAAGCTGTTTCCCATTGGCCGTTCTCATTTGTGGAGCGGGGTTTACACTTAAACCTTTGATGAGGCAAATTTTGCAAATCAGACTGGTTCACTGCACCATTTCCTGCTTGTCACTAAGTTAGATCAGATCACTTTGGATTGATTGCTTAGACGTTGGCATCTTGGATCTTTGCTGCAAATTTTCTTCACTGTGATTTTTACACTCAGAATTATGACTGCTGAATTTGGGGGCTTGAAAATATTTGTGCTGAATAGAGAAAAAATTCAAAGTGAGAAGTTCAGCAGCATTCAAAAATCAAAATCTGATGATACACATTCTTCCAAATATGTCCCAAAATACATCTTGATTGTAATTTGGGGGTATTTTAGGTCGATATAAACAAGCATCTATTTTGTTTAGAGCCCAGTGTAATACAAATAATATTTTAGATAAACTTTAGCTAAGCCGTTACTGTAAGCTTTAAAAAAAACAAAAAAACAAAAAACAAAAACAAGCATTGACACTATAATCTTATGCTTATGGCTATATCAACCTCAACACGCCAGATCTCGTCTGATCTCGGAAGCTAAGCAGGGTTGGTCCTGGTTAGTACTTGGATGGGTGACCTCTTGGGAATACCAGGTGCTGCAATTTTTTTGCACCAGCAGAGGGTGCTGCTTTTTGCACGGAGTAGGATGTATACATAAAGCATAGTGTAATATATCTTACTATCTTGAATGAATGAAATAATAAACTATAATTCATTCAAGTTCATTCTAATTAACAAGATGCAAGATGCTCAGTGGTTTTTGACTTTTTTTTTTTTTAATACAATTTCAAATACTAGCCAAGTAGCACACCAACAGACTAACAGTAGTGGATAATAAATAAATAAGTGTGTCTGTGTGTATGTGTGTTTTTAATCATTGTAATTTTTCCGTTACATTTCAGTTGTAGGGTTAGTAGAGAAGTGATTAGGTTTATTAGTCGTTATGTATACACAAGGCTGGTTTTAAGGCCGCATACGTCACTTCCGGTGAAACAAGGCCTGTCCCATTCATTTTTATGTCATGCAGCCTTCAAATGCAGCCCTAAAACCGGCCTCGTTTCCATGGAGATGGGGCCGCGAACGGAGGACACATCCGAGTATCCTTCGCAGCCTTCAGTGTCCCAGCATGCACCGCGCGGCGGCAGTCAGATGTTCGAAAATACGGAGCGAAAACACGGAGCAAAAAGCCCGTCCGGAGAGCGGAGAAAAACATCTTTAACTTTAGGAAATCATTACTAACACAACTGTAAACGTAAAATACGACCATAACTCCCACAAAACTGTCAAATAAGTTTGTTTTTAACTGCGTGATCCGCGGAGTTTTGAGCTAAAGTTTGCCTAGTAATGTGCAGCTAATGCGATGAAAAGTCCGTTCAAACTTTCATATTTGGACAGATTTCCATCAAACACTCATCATGTTTTTACTGTTAGGGGAAAAGAAGCCCACAGAGTGATTTAATTAAGCTACGAGGAGAAAACAGTGTAAACATGTAAACAGTTGGTCAGTGTAGCTCGGAGTTAAGATGAAAACACGCATTATTTCATACATTCAACTGAAAAACTCAGTTTGACTCTATCAAAGCTCATATTTACTTGTAAATCACATAATATAAGCCTCCAACGTGTGCATTTCATTCAGGGAATACATTATATGCGTTTAACAATCCGTGCATGTTTGTAAAGTGAAAAGTAAATAATCCTGTCTAGACAGGTCAGATATAAGATGGACATGAGGCTCATTTAACAGATTTGTGCAGACACTGGTGTAGATACGACCTGACTGTGTCTGTTAGGTCTGTCACATCTAATGTTATAAAAATGAGAAATCTGTTTTACATGAATTTTCTTTTCTCATCTGCAGCCTCCAGTATGAGGACACAGCGCACTGCAGAGGTCACAGAACTGTTGGCTGACAAGATGCTTGTGATTCATAAAATGGGTCAAATGCAGATGACAAAGTAAAGCCAACATTGAGCTGGAGGTGCTGACCCAGACTCCTGCCAATGATTAGGTATGGGGCATGTTACATTGAAAACTCCAATAATAATAAGAGCTGCAAATTAATCATGCTCATTTTGAAATTATGATTTAAATTGTGAAAATATGTATTTCTCAGATGTGTGGGATTCCTCTATTCATTTAGCTGTTTCAGATATAAACTGCCTTTGAATCTGAATGTACATCAGAGTTTAAGTTCAACGTTAAAAAAACGTTTATTGTCAATTCTTCATACGAAAAACATATAAAGAATTGTTTTTCTCACTCCCTTGCTTATAAATAAATAATAATAAATGTAAATAGTGCGGGGGGAGTCCAGGTGTTCTATGGGGTGCATGCTCTGTGAAACTTATTTTCCTCTAATAGTGTTGTAGTTTTCTTAATGTGTGTGTCATTACAGGTTT